AATAGTTTTTATATAATTATATAATGTTTTATAATCATAGTTCAAAGAAACTTAGATCTTACCTTGAAATTAAGGAGACGTGAAAAAGTAAAGCCATTTTCTGCTTTGCTGTCAACTTCGTAAATTGTATCTCTTATCTTTATGTATTCCTTTAACTCCACCTAGATTGATTTAAGCCAGAAACAACAGTCAAATTACCAAGAAGCCATTATTAATATGTAGCTGTTTTTTAGTAAGCATCATGCTTTCCTTAAATACATGCATGCATTTTTTTAAAAAAACAGATCTAATTATCTGCTCTGACAAAATAAATGTCTAATTAGCTAAGAATATGCTAATAAGAACAGTTAAGAATATCACAGTTCATAAACAGTTCTCATGATTGAAGACCACTAGCTCAGATATCACATGTATTACATAAACAATAATGATTTATTACTAGTTCATATATGTAAGTATATGTATGTACACAATACACTGTGTGGCAAATACTGAAAAAAGTTTTTGTTAGTAGAAAAAATTGCAAGCCTTAGCATGCATATTGCTTTAATTTTTAAATTTTAATGTAAACACGTAGCCCATGTTAAAAGTCTGAACAGGGCTGCTATAATTTTAAAGCCAGAAACAATATTTACTGTTTTACAATATTTTGTGTACATACCGGTCTGAAATTTTTAGTATAGTACTCTGCTTGCAGGAACTTTTGCAGGTCTCCAACATTATTTAAAGTTGCACTCATTCCAACAATGTGTGTATCTTCTGTAAAACACAGGTTGAAATGAGTTTATTTCCACGGTCACCATTTTAAACACTTTGCTCAATATTTAACTCATAAGCCTGCTTATCCATTATTAGCATTTACTTTTAAGTGCCAAATCAGCAGGTGTCATGGGGATGTAGCTAAGAAATATTGCCTGAGATGTGAACATAAAAAAGGAAATCTTCTCTATAGAGATGTTTAATTGCAATGGCAAAAGGGCTCCTTATGAAGAAATGAAAGATGTTTGACAATGCTCAGAAAAATATCAAGAAAGCTTCAAGAACACTCAGCCCATCCTTATGGGGTAAAACAACTCGAGCAATCAACACATTTTCCAAAAGCAGCCAAGACAGTACAGATCTAGAAAGCAAAATCAAGGTGATCTCTCTACAGGTGATCATAGAACAATATTTTAGAGACTGACTTACTACTAGCATAAAGTATTTTTGCGAGAGTCATTTCCAGTGTTGCTCCACGACTTCCCTCACCAATCATATGCAACTGCAGACCAGAAGAGAAAGCAATCAAGATTACTAGTGGGTTACAAATGTTCCCACAAATACAACAGTATATTTCTAAGTAATTTTGAGGTGAGTGTCTGTGAAGGCTCCATCTAGAGATCTACTTGGTAAACTGACATGCTAAGCGTCTTCTCTAAGTATTGCCTTAATTAATATGTATTTAAGAACCACAGGACAAAAGATCCAAGCAGCTAAAATTTGCATTCCGTTTAATTAGATCACAAGTGTCATGGAAATAGGATCTCTTGCAAGTACAGAATTGGCATGGAAATGAAGCAACCTAAACTGACCCTGGTCAACTTATTCTTAAGAAACACGTGTTAGAGAACCTAAACAAATCTTTTCTTAGTAGGCAGGTGCTACCAGAAAAAGCCCAACTTATTTATTAAGCCTTTTCACATTTAGAGAAGTTGTGTTTAAATAAGGTGAGCCTGGAGCATTCCAAGAGTTGAACATCCAGTTTTACACATTACATATGTGATTCAATCCCATAGTTAACCTTTAGCAGTACAACTCAGTCACATTACTAAAAAGCAGAGTAACAGGTAATTCTCAGTGAAATGTGATTTCGTTTTCCCTCCAGTATACCAGCCTTCAGATGCCAGGATACCAAATTCAGGCACGCAACATGCATATGCAAAAACACATTCCACACAACTCAATATCACTTTTTAATTTTTGTTTCTTTGTAGAGCCAACCTGAGAAACAGTTAATTTACAATTAACCACTCACACAGTAGATATGTTAACGCAGTCTCTGGGACAAAGAATACTTAAGTCAATGAATAAAAATAACATTCATTGTAACAGGCACTGGTTACAGATCAGTTTCCTGATCCCAAAGTACCAATGCGATAACAAAGTTATACTATTTGTGACATGGTAAGCCCTGGAAACTAAACCAATGAAATAAACTAAAGCTATTTATGGAAAATCTTGTGACCTACCTCATCTACTACAACTAGACCAAGGTCACTGATTCTATCTGTTTCAATTAAAGAATTCACAAGAGCGTGTCCTTTTTCTATGGTAGCAATATAAAGTGACTTTTTTATTCTTCTCTTGATGGGTGGAAATCTTCCCTTACTTCCTGCATATTCTTCAACCAGGAAACCTAATTCTATCCCAAAGCTTGATAAACCCCAAACCTGTAAAAAAAAATGCAATGTCAGTTGGAAAACAAACTTGTGCTCATTCTAATTTCAGACCTGTCTCAATTACTCAACCATGCATGTAACCACCTTATCTAAATCAACTGCGTAATGAATACGTTCCCTAGTCAAAATGCAAAAGCATCCATAAACTTTATCAAACTGTTCTCTAACTTCATTTTGAGTTAGTCAGAGTAGCATATGTTTTTATTACAGTGGTACTTTGCCAGAAGGGTTGACAGCAAAAGACATTGATATAAGAACAAAAATACGGGTGATGCTGCAGAACACTATCGTTTCAAGAATTTCCTATAACTCAGCATATTGAAGTGATAACCACAATATTTTATTAGAATAAAATTGAGTCTTAGAGCAGCACCAAAAGGCAAAGCAACTCATTTCCCCAAATGTTTTCATGAAAAATACAGTTACCTAATGCTACTGCTAAAACCAGTCCTACAACAAGGCACATTGCAGAAGATGCGCAATACCAAGAACTTTACAGACCTTTTCTTGGACAATGGCAACATATGGCAGGATCATCAGAACATCCTTCTGCCTGCAGAGTAATTCTTGGAGAATTAAAATTTCAGCAACAAGTGTTTTTCCACCACTAGTTGGTAACGAGTAAATCAAATTCTTCCTCTGCTGCAGAGATTTTAATGTTAAGCAATCATGCTGCCATTCTGCAAAATTAAAAAAAAATTATTGCCAATCCTTTTAAGGGTATGTTCATCCCCCACAAGCCTCTTTGCCTATACTGTGTAAAACCCATCAATTCAGCGTTCAAGAGTTTTCTTCAGTTAAGTGCTACAAGTCTTACCGTTTTCTCAGATCTCACAGAAGAAAATACTCCTGTAAGCCACATCCTCCTCCTCCACACTGCTGAAAAACAATTCTCTTCTGACGTAGCTTAGCTACTATTACCTTAACTTTCTTATGTTTCCTCCTCTGGAGATCCAACACGACTTAGGCTTTTCCCTTCAATGCAACAAGTAGTATTACATTATCCTACTTTTGCACTTGAAAATATTTTAATTTAAATGTTTAATTTCCATAATGGACAGTAATTCAACCATAAACAAGTAACTTTATACCATAATGGATAAAACAGAAAATACTTATACTACAATTGTTTGCTTTGAAGAACCCATAAGTTCTATTACCATAAAGTGTTTCAATGCCCCGAAATTGCCTGAGGAGATGTTTAACTTTACTGGGTAATCCATAAAATGGGCCTATATCAAAAGACGATGATTCAATAGTTTCCCTAGCAACAGAAATCTCTTCAGATAAAATAGCTTCTTTAAGCTGCTTGGTCTTTGAGACCTTTGGAGTCTGGGCTTTGGCATTTCCAGTCATAGCGTTTTTCAGATGATCTTTAAGACTCACGCTTTTACATGAATCAGACCTAGAGTCTTTGGAAGATTTTGTGCTTCTGTTCTTGTGTCCGGAATCAGGACACGGAGATGACAGACTCTGGATTTTGTCCAAGGAGGAATTCTTCCACTCATCCATCTTTTCTCTGCCTGCAGATCCTTGGGAATGAGAAGAAAGCTCACCCATTTTCTCCAAATACAGAAGTTGTGATGAAAGCAATTCATCAAAAACAGAATCGTTGAGGTCTTCATTGGTGTCTCCAGCATCATTTTCATTCATTTGGAAGCCATAACGTTCATCCACTTTATGCACACTACTATCTTCTGTAGCATACAAATTACCTTGCTTGCTTCGGTTCATTTCTGACTGAAGATTCCCATGTACAAACTCACCAGCTGCTTTCATGTCTATACCCTTTTCCTGGGGGTGCTGGTGCTCTGCATCAAGAACTTGAGCCAACAAAGAATCACTTTCATGGAAGATGTCATAGTCATCAAACATATCCTCTTCACTATCATTGTTACACTGTGAAAACAGAACAATAACAGAATTAACACTGCAAAGTAACAAGCTAGAAAAACCTTGGCAACCGAAGCATAAAGTGCAATTCATTTAACTGTTCTGCAATTTATCAAGCAATTAATCTGCCTTTTCACTTTGTCAGTGAAAAACAGTTCAATTTTAATGCAACATGTACTTGCAAATGAATGAAGTGCGGCACAGAGTCAACGAGAAGATTTTTCTGAGGTTCCTAAGCCCGAACACACCCCCTGCTCAGATGCTTCCCACCACCACCGCCTCACTCCGGCCCGCTTCCCACGTCCCAGCCACCACCTCCGTACCGGGGGCTCGGCGAGGGACCCCTCATCCCCAGCACTGGGTCTCTTGCGAGCCAGCGGCGAGCAGGCGGCCCCGGGCCGTGCAGGGGGGTGGCTCCTTTTGCGATCGGAGCTGATGCGGCTCCTCCTCCGCACGGCGAGAGCGGGCTCAGCCATGAGAAGGGAGCCGGGAGACGTCAAAGCCCCACCGGGGCTGCGCGCATGACGGCCGGCAACGCCACGAGGCACCCAGCCCCAACGTCGCTTCCGGCACAAGAACAAAACAAACTGTACCACGTGTCATACGCGCAGCCAATCGCCTGCCTCCACTAGTGCAGGCCGCAGCCCCATTGGCCAGCGGATCGTATTTCCGCTTGGCTGAATGATGTGGGGGAAGTTGCGCGCAGAGGGAGGCGAGAGAGGTCATGATGGCGGCGCTGGCTGTGCGGAGCGGCAGGCTGTGCTGCGGATGGGTGCCGGGTGAGCGGGCTGCGCGCTGCTTCTTTGCCGTGTGTCTCTGCGGTGGCTTTAGGCTGCCCTGTCGAGCTGCCGCTGACGGTGTTGTCCCTTTGCTGTGCAGCCTTGATGCGGGAGAGGCCTTGTCGTCTTCAGCACCAGGGAGCAGCGGTCCAGTCTGACATGGTAAGGGTTCCTCATCTCGCTGCCAGGTGTGCCGTGGCCGCTTCCTGGCAGCTACACGGACTCCCGTATCAGTGGGTGAGCTGGTCAGACAACAGAAACGGAAAGGAAGATAGCATCTTGCGCTGTGCCTGCTGCTCTCGTGATTGAAAGATACGTTGCTGTATAAGTTACTGCGTTTATCGCTCTTTGTCACTGTTTCTGAAATCAACTACTAAGCGCTAATAAGTGCCCTATATAAGGAATAGCCTGCTATTATTAATGTAACTCTTCTGTGCTGTTTCAATAGCTCACACCTAAAGAAATGTGGCTTTTTTTTTTTTTTCTGGACTGCAGAATAGTTTCAATTGGAAATGGCCTCACAGCCTACCCAGCCCCAACCCTTTGCCATGGGCAGGGTTATTCCCCACCAGTTAGGCTGCCTAGGATCCCATCGGATCTGGTCCTGAATACCTCCAGAGATAAGGTATCTGCAGCCACTCTGGGCAGCCTGTGCCAGGGTCTTACTGCTCTCTTGAGTAAAGACCTTCTGCATTATATCTAATATAAATCTCCTCTGCTTTAGTTTTATGTCACTTTGCTTGTCCTACTTCTATCAGCTCATATAAACAGTCTGTTTGTATCCACCTTTCAAGTGCTGGAAGGCTGTAGTGAGGTCTCCCTAGAACCTTCTCCATGCTAAGGAAGCCTAACTTCTGCAACCCCTCTTTGCATGGGAGGGGCTCCTTTTGGTTTGAAGGCATTCTCTTTTTCCTGAAGATCTATGTGAAATCAAGTGCAAGCTGACTATTTTCTTGCAAATTTAAAACATTTTAGCTGTTGTCTAATTACAGCCTATAGAAATGGAGAATCCGTACAAAGAGCCTCCTAAAAAGTGTATCTTATGTGGAATAAATGTGGACTACAAGAATGTGCAGGTGAGTGCCTTGAAAATGTATGTTTATGTAAAATTAATTGATCTATAGCATTCAAGGGCTTGGGAACAGAAGTCTGAAGTTAATACTGTATGATTAATACCGATGTTTAGAGGATCTATAAAACTGAAGTAGTGTGACTGATAAATCTAGTAATGTAACTAGTTGCTTCAAATCTCTAGTCCTATTAAATGTTCAATTCTCATTCTACTGTAGTGTGGCTTAAGTGATAGGGTATGTGGAAGGTTCTGTAAGAAACAGGTCCAAATACGAAGATGTTAAAGTTTTTTTTACAAAGCAACCCTTACACTCTTGTCTTTGCTTTCTAATAGCTTCTGTCCCAGTTTGTTTCTCCATACTCTGGCCGCATTTATGGCAGGCATATAACAGGTATGTGGAATAGTATTTACTGTTCAATGTTGATGCCTTCTAGAGTCTAGTTCACTTATCAGATATGTTTACAGAACTGGATGTTACTGGTTGTGCACATCTTGAAATGTTCATGTTAACTAGTAGCCTTCATCAAGAAATGAGAATATCCCTTAAGTAATCATTTTTTAATCTTAACCATAGAAAGGTATGTAAGTGTGCATACCTTTTTGTAAGAAGGCTTTGTCAAGCTAGAACAACTTGTGACTGATAAAACTTCCTCCTTAAACTAATTGGTGAATTATGGTTGAAACCAGGAAGCTAAAAATAACTTATTTGTTTAGGCTTGTGTGATAAGAAGCAGAGGGAAATTTCAAAAGCCATAAAAAGAGCTCATATACTTGGTAAGTACTGTTACACTTCAGAGTATTTGGTAAATCACACTTATCCTTTATTTAAAAAGATCCTCCACTTTATTTTCTTACAGGATTTATGCCAGTTATGTTTAAGAACCCATCATTTCTTACAGACCCCAAGATTTGTAATGTTAAGTATTGAGAATAACGTACTGTAAAGAAATAAAAATAAAACAAAGTCATGTTTAATATTCTCTACTGGTGTGAGTAGCTGGAATGGTTTTTTGGCTCAAAGCTTGTTCAGTGGCATTTATCTGAGATGTAACCTGTTCAATAAGCTTTTGTGGTTAGTGATTACTATCTTCACAGTGAGAAGAGAAATACTGGTAGGTGACCAGGAGAAACCCTTTTCAGCTGTTGCTCTTTGTGGGCGTTCAATCTGATTTGTGGGGGTCCTCTCTGAGGAGAGGACCACCATGCAGTCAGCGTGCATACCTAGCAGTCCACCGTGTGACAACTGTGTGTTCAACTGCTGATTACCCAATGGGAGGGGGATGTGCTATGCATGTGCTGTTGCCCCGATGAACAAAATATAAGTACCCCTGACAACTAAAGGAAGCTCTGAACCACACAGAAGTGCCCCCTGGCAGCCAAACTTCCACTGTGAAGAGGCTAAAAACCCGAAGAGTTCTGAGGTAGAATGGGTACCCTCTCTGCCAAATTGCAGCTGTGCAGGTCAATAAGATGTTATTGACAAACTTGCTGCCTTCCTATGGACCAACATGTGGTGTTCTCTAAGAATACAGTGCACCCCTTAGGATAGATACTGAGTTGAGAGGATTATCATTCTAGACTGTTTACCCTTGGGGAGTGTAAGGAGTGAACTGATTTGTTGATAATGTTTTCCCCCTAGATGTACAGACCACTAAACTTATCCAGAGGTCCTGCTGAAGTTCATTTTTCCCTTCCATTTCAGAAAGGGTCAATTAAGTACCAGATAGCTAAGGATAAGTAAAAGTATTAAAAACCTTTGTTTTATATAAACAGCTATTTGTAAGGTACATTTGATTTGATGTTCTGCATATCACCTTCTGCTGAGGAGATGCTTATTGTTGGAGTGGTCCTGAAATCTTCAGCAGCAGCTTGAAATTCTATCACCGAGGCATTAAGTGAGACTATTGGAATGCTAACACAGTGCTAGCATAGTTTTAGAACCCTGAGATAGAGAATACAGACTTCACTCTGCAAGGCAAAATTAAGGAATGTCTTCTAGACTCTGCTTGACTTAGGCCAAAAAGGATTTGAGTATTTAAACATACATCTTTGTACTTTACAAGAACTCAGTAAGCTATTTCCATCCCTGCAGTGCAGTAATTTATGTCACTTAAATATGCTGGCAATTGCTTTTTGTACAAATACATCTGGGCAAATCATTAAGTGATCAGAAAGTGGGAGAGTATGAATATTCATTTGTATCTTTGGGATTTTCCAATGCTTCCTCATCTGTTTCAGTGCTACTCAGTGCAAGCTTTGTTTCTTGGTTGCTGTCCTCTTCATCTTGGCGTAGTTCTTGGTCAAGTTGCAGTGATCTTAATTTCTTAAATGATTTTGGTCCTGTTGTGGTGTCTTTGACTTTGCGCTTGGTTACTAGTTTTGTTTCAGCTTCAGTGAAGTCCCTTTCCTCCACCATGAGAGTCAATTTATCCATGATACTAATATTATGGTCAATCTTACAACAGTTCTTAGAGATCCTTCCTTCGAAGGAAACAATACATGTCTGAAGTCCAGAATTGGGGAAAAATGTTTTCAGTGCCTGACAAAGCAAAACATTCTCCTTTGGTTCTTCTAGGTGATCTCTGTTCCCTCCTGAAAAACAATGGTTACAGACCCTCTTGTATACTTCTACCAATACTGCTCTGGGTTCCTCAAGTTCACAAGTGTTCTTTTTCCATCAGTGAAATAACTTTGCTGTCTTACCAGTGCTACCATTGGACATAACTTACCCAAAGAGATCTTGTGTTGCTTTTTTCTATTGATTTCTTCTTTTAATTGGCTCACCTCTGTTAGGAGTTTCTCTACAGATCGTTCACTGACTTCTACATCAGAACATATTTTCTGGAAAGAAAAATCTCAGTTGAGATCAGCTGCATTAACAGAAGTAAAACTTAGTTTTAGCAAAGCCTGTAAAGCTACTGACTTTCTGATATTGGTAATAGTATTAAAAAGCTGAAGTAATGAGCTTGAGGTTGGTTTTTGGAGATGAGAACTTCAGCCTTGTGTTGAGCGAGGTGCAATGGCTTTTACTTGTCCTCGCCTGCCCAAAAGAGTGCTAACAACTAGAGATGATAATTTCCAGAAATAATCCTCTTTAAAGAATTTCTCAGTACATGTGAGTTGATCTTTGAAGTTTATTAAGGATAAACTTTTATTTGCAACTGTTATGTAGAGCAAAGAACTTTCTATGTTGCACTGTACCTCCAACTTGGTGCAGGATACCAAATTACCAAATGCTTTGCTTGACTGTTTGGTACTGCTGGAGATGTCTATGCTGCGGGTATACTTAACTGACCTTCAGTTCCTCCTGCAAGGTGGCATACATCTCATTTATCTTGTGAACCTCTTGTAAGGATCCATCTTCATAAAAGAATTCTGACCTGTGGAAAAATTCAATTGTATAACTGAAAATTGATTCCAGCGGATATCGATGAACATTTGAAAAGAACTTCATTAAATAAAGAAGCATTCTAGGTTTTCATTGTTTTGTTTTAGGATTAGCTATTAAGTCAGATTTTCTAAAGGTTATTTTATGTAACTTCAAGAGACCCCTTTACTGAAGATGGTACTGACTACTGGTTGATGCATAAAATTGTAAGGGGGGGAAAAATGACCTGGACTTCTAGTTTGAAGTAAGAAATAGAGTATGAATAGCTCTTGTTAGGCTAACAGTCTGTACTATTCTTTAATTCTAGCAATAGTATTGCATATCTCTTGTCACCAAGACTCAAGGTAATCACAACTGGAAACAATACTTATGTAGGCTGGTGCAGTGCTAGGTGCTTATTTTGACTGTTCTCACTGCCAATACATGGATGAACAAATTCTAAAGTCCTTTGTAAAGGGCAAAAATTACAGGAGCAAGTCAGGAAGTGAGCAGAGTGCAGCTGTATCACTACTTTGAGAACTTAAAAAAAAAAAAAACTTCATTTAAAGAAAGCAGCTATGTTAACCTTACTGGAAAGCTTCAGATGCCAGTACGTAAGGTTTATATTGTACCTGTGTTGTCTTATTGCTCTCACAAAGCGGGAAGATGCACAGGAACCAGACACTGTTCTGTAACCTTGCTGTTCTGCCATACCCAAGTTGGTAACAACTAGAGGAACTTTCTGAAAAAGACTTCAAGAGCATAAGTATGAGAAAGTGCTGCATTAACATTTAAGCATACCTTTTCAGTATTTCAATAACCCCTCTCACTGGGCACCACAACCAGAGGTGCACAGTATAATTCTTGCTGGATATCACACACAGGTGACTAGACTTTGAGCAATAGTTAAGTATATGGTTTAAAACTGCTTTTGGATGTCAGGCATGCTCTAATGCAGTTATTTTCTTGTTAAACCTGGTCACTTAACCTGTCTCAATAGCTTCATAAAGCCTACCAAAAGTTATAACTAAAATAAATGAGTCCTAATAGTAACTCAATTACACCCATAAAAATAAAAAAGTCAGTCAAATCAGGTTATTTAACAGCTCTCTTAAAACTAGAAAACAAACTGATTACCCTTCTTGTGGCCGGTGTAAGGCATGTTCTAGCCTGTAAGTTGAACAGCTTTCTGTCATCACACTAGAAGTTAATAGAAGGAATACAAGGCCTTGGTTTGATAGGTGCGACTGCAAGTTCTTATGTAGAAGTCTTTCCCGGAATGTCATGATCTGGTCTGTGTTGCGTCTGAATTTGTACCATCCTATTACACTCTACAAACAGAACAAAGTTTATCAGTACTGCTCTTAAACTACAATGTCTGTGTATTTCATAATGGAGCAAAGTGGGAGGTTCAGTACAAAGGCATTGATCTAAATTGTTCTGTGTACATATTTAAGCAGATACTTAACTGTAAATGCCTGGAATGCCTAAGACTATTTTCTAGTACAACAGCATCTCCTGCTCTGGAATCCACTGAAACAGTTTTCTGAGGCTATACTCAACCTGGAAGTTTGCAAATGTGGTTTAGCTACTTAGCCACTTGCTGTTCTTCAGCTTATACTTTCCTCTTGAGAAATGTTCTTCTACAGAGAAGACAGTATGTGAACTTGCTTCTGCTGAAATAAGGGAGTGAATTGAAAGTTGACCTCAATTGATCTCAATCTAGGAGTCAGTGTAATTGTTTTTGGATGTTGAAAAATTTCACTTAGGAAAAATTAAAGATTGATGATAGAACCACAGAATTGTTCAGGTTGGAAAAGACCTTCAAGGTCATCAAGTCCAACCACAGACTAGCCATACTACCCTAACTCTAACAACTCTCTGCTAAATCATGTCCCTGAGTACCACATCCAAACAGTTTTTAAACATCTTCAGGGATGGTAACTCAACCACCTCCTTGGGGAGCCTATTCCACTGTTGTGGCAAACCTTAGTCAAAGATGACCTAAATTAATAGTATTCTTTAGGGGAGCTGTCTTGACAAGCAGTATATTGGAGTAGATGGGGGGGGGGGAGGGGAAAGAACCAGACAGAACAACCCCCAAGAGTTGGGATACTCCCTTGGCATGTATTAGATTTGAAAATACCTTCTTACGGCCTGATAGTATTTTCTTCAGGGCTGGTTCATTGAGTTCTCCTGCAGAATTATAAAAGCTAGAAGAAAATTATGACAGTTAAGACTTTTGTTGTAAAGTACCTCTCTGGCAATGTTTGTATTTATTAATTCGTAGAAAGATTGCAGAGGGAAATCATGCTGTGATTTTCCTCTCATCAGGATGTAAATCTGCAAGACTGTGTTCCTATTTACAACAGAACTTGATAAATCAGTCTGTGGAATGACTCCTGATGTAGAACTATCAGGTGTTCATTCTGCCTTAGGACTCTATGTTTCTATTTTCTGATTGGGTGAGGGGTCAGGATATGCTATTTTAGAAAAGCAATTTTTTTTTTCTTTTTTTTTGCAGCAGACTGACATCATTCTGTAATTCAGATAGTTCCACAGCTCACTAGGGTATGGTGTACCACATTTCTACTTTACATAAAGAGATACAAGCACAAGCAATACGCATAGAACTAATATAAGAATAACAAGGCTTTTAGCATCTGTATTTCTACAGAGATGACACTGTATCTGTTATTGTATCTTGGTGATTTTCTCAGACATGCATTACAAGTTAAAGCTAATTTTAACTCAACAAATGATAAATATTAACTTTTTCTGCATCTTAAAATTTTCTTACCTGAACAGCTGGTAGCATGGAATATGTTTCTGTATATCTGAAATGAGAAAGCAATATTACTTAGTCTATCAGCTCAAGATGTGCATTTTTCTGTATGCTGTCATGAGAATTGTCATAAGGAAGAGGAAGAACTTTAATGCTGCATCTTTGAATCAAACTACTTGTCTGCTTAAAGGAAATCTTTAAGAAAGTAAGTCTAACCCAAATTTCTTTCCAAGTATAAAGAGGAGCTACTTCTATAAGTTATTTTTGATACATTTTTGCCAAGTGGAAAATCAAATTTGTCACTTAATTTTCCCCTTCCTTGAGTACAGAATTAGAATACAATATAATATCACAGAATAGTAACTTTGGTTATGTTGCAGCAAAGCACAGATGCTGCTAGGCAGGGAAATAAAGCTGGAGAACAGGGTGCGTGAGAAGAATGGGGTAACTACCAGTGAAAAGAGGGTAAGGGCTAGCATTCAGAATCTTCTTCTTTTCTCATTGTCTCCACAATTGTTGTTGTTACAAGTTTTCTAAAGTCAAGCAAATAAAACAATCAAAGCAACCAAAAAGAACCCCACAAAGTTTGGAGCAACTAATAGTGCCCAAGAATTTGGGTAGTTTGATCAATGGCACCACAATTTCCTCAGATTTTGGGCTCAGTAGTGAGATTCAGTGGAGGAAAGTTAAACCGAGGTAAAACTGAAAAATGAGATATGACTTCTCTGTTGTCAGTAAGGTTGGAAAGAAGGCATGCATTACTTTTTTTTTTTTTTTTTTTATCAACTGTTTTGAAGGAATAAAGTTAAATTTATGTATGCATATATTCTTCTTTAGGGCTACTAGAATATACATATTTGCTCCCACTGCAGTTCAGATTTTACAGGAAAATGCTCCTGCCATCTGCTCAGTGAAGTACATAATTTGCAACATCCACAATATTTTATAAGTTTCAAGTTCTGTATTAAGCATGAATGCATTAAAGTTCACTTGACTGTACCAAATTTCTGCCAGGCAACTGCGCTTCAGGCAAAGTAGCAATGCTCAAGGAGCTAGCAACTTGTGTTTGTTAAAATTTATCCTGTTCAGATTAAGATTACTAATTTTTTAGCAATTAAATGCTGTAAAATAAGCTGTGTGTGCCCAGTTAGACATGAATGGGCAGCCTAGGATCTAGCAGTTGCATGCAGTCACGGGTGCAGTCACAGCTGTCCCGGCAGCAAGCTTGCTATGAGAAATGAAGATGCACTGACCGATTGTATAAACCACTTCCACATCGTCCATCTGTGAGTCCGTGATGCTGTTCTTGGCCTCACCTTTCACATCTCCAAGGAGAAAGCCTTCCTTTTTCGGGAGAGAACAAAAGGTCACGTTAACTGACGTCTAACAGGAGTTGGTCTTAACCGTAAGCAAGCACCTTTGAGGTGAAGAGTGCACGGATCTTTTCAACGGCGCGGGTTCTCTTTCATTTTTAAATGTATGCAAACACTTAAAGCAAGAAGTTGGGCCGCGTTCTCAGGCGCTCACGAGAAAGGGCGCGGTGTGCGGCTGTCCGCGTGCTGCCTGCTTCCGAGCCCGCAACTTTTATCGGCCCCGGCAGAAGCGCTATGGCAGCCGCGGCACCGCACCGCCTCTTGCCGCTTCCTCCTAGCTTTAGCTAGGAAATAAAAAGCAACTTTCCGGCGTCGTTAGCGGCGAAAGCAGCCGAAACAGCAGCGGGAACCCTGCCGAAGGGCCGCGGGGACGGGCGAGGCGCGGCCCTGCGTTGGGGCACGGCCGAGCCGAGTCTCGCGTCGCCGTCGGCGGGGCTCCCCGCCGGCGCGCTGCGAGCTGCGACATGGCGGCCGAGCGCTGCCCGCGCGCGTGCACGGCGGCCGCCCCGCCCCGCCCGGCCGCCTCTCGCCGCCCGCCCCCGTCCCGCCCGCGGCACGCACCGTGTCCGAGTCGGTGCTGAGGTGCTGGAAGGCGAGGGCGCCGAAGACGAAGCCCGAGAGCAGAGCCGACGTGCTCTCGCCCTCCATGCCCCCGACAATGGCGGGCCGCGCCGCGGCGGCGGGAGCCCCCAGCGGTCGCCGGCGGCAGGGCAGGGCTCGGCACGACCCGTCCGTGCTGTGCCGCGCCTTGCTTTACCTGCGGCCGGCGGTCTGTCGGCGTGGCCTTCCGTGAGGTCCGTGCCGAGCTTGGCGCGTTTCTGCCGCCCGTCCCTTCGCCTTCCCACTGTAATGAGTGCATGAGGGACGCCTGTTCCGTGCAGGGGAGCTGGACTAAGTGGCCTTTAAGGGTCCCTTCCAACTCAAATGATTCTACGGTTCTATGAAATCAAGTAATTCCCGAGTGTGAATTCCTCCCTTAAAGGAGAAACAGTGCCATTACTGAGGAAGGCAAGTTAGCAGGTGGGTCCTGAGAGCAAACCAAGATGTCCTGGCTGGACTGGACTTCAAGTTAAAGCATCAAAACGGCGGTGAAACAGGACTGCTTGGGTCTCCTGCTGGGAGTGCGGGTGGAGCAGGCTGTATTCCCAACTGAAGAGTAGGAAACGTGTGTCATTCCACCTCACAGTGTGTCCTGGCGCAGAGTTGGCAGAGCTAGCATCCGCAGAAGGAAAACCACCTGCCTTTTGAAACAGGGTATGCTGCTGTGAGTGTCTGGAGATGCACTTCTATGAATCTTCTGAGCTAATAACCTCAGGAATTCTAGTAAGGAGACAATGAATAACGTAAAGCAACTGTCTGACAAAAGCACGTTGCACCACTCCTCATGGTATGAACCGAGTCCGTGCAGTTTCTGTTTTGAATTGTTTCGATGACCATATTCCCTTTAATATTTGCAGTAACGTTATCTTTCCCCCCACATTCTTAGCAGGTGTTCTTGATCAGAATGCAGCTCTAAAAGCCACCTGAGGAAGGGAGAGGTGGAAGTTATAGTGTTTGTAGAAATGAGATAGAGATCTGTTGTAAAGGCCACCAGGGTTTCTTCATTTCAGGAAAAGAAATGCTTAATTTTGTTTTTCATCAGGACTGCACGTAAGCTTATTATTTGCTTTTTGTATAAGTAAAAAATGACTTTTTGCATAATATTTATGTACCTGCAGTCTCTCAAGGGGTGTTTCTACTGATTTGGGGGTGTCACATGTATTTTTATCTATTCTTATCTTTCATTAGAAATGAATGTTTTTAGTGCATTTTTTCCCTTTAAACCTGTCAGCAAAACTTAGAAGAAGAATGGCTATTTCTTACATTCTTGGATTTAAATAAAATTAAGTATATTTAAATGAATGCAAATGGTACTTATACTCAGGAGAGGAGAATCTTTGCACTTCTTACCTATTCTCACAGTGAAGAGAAGAACTGGCTAAGTGTTTTTTCTTTTCCTACCTCAACAAGCATATGAACAGGGGCTGACAAATTCTTCAGGTGATACAAAATGATTGAGAAGATGAATGGGAAATAGCTATTGGGCATTTCTTGCAATCCAAGCCACAGGGCGTTAGATGAATGCATAATAAATACTATGCAGCTGAAGTGATGTATTGGAACAAACAGTGACATGGATTACATTGCCTTGGTAAAAGGCAGCAAGAGTATAAGAGTATGTGACCAGCTTATATAGCTGTTTGTGGAGAAAATTGTGAAAATGAACATGAATTCTGGCATCTTTCAGAAATTGCCCCCAAATTCCATTGCAGCCACTTCTAAACCAGAGCAGTGGGGGCACTTTGTGCGTTTAATCAGTGTGAGAAATGTTGGGCATTGACAAATTATTCTTCAGTATTCAACATGTCCAAAGAAGGACAGGGATCCGGAGCACAAGTCTTACAAGGAGCGGATGAGAGAGCTAGGATTGTTCAGTCTGGAGGAGAGGAGGCTCAGGGGAGACCTCATTCCTCCCTGCAACTCCCTGAAAGACAGTTGTAATGAGGTGGGATTCGGCCTCTTTTCCCAGGTAACAGTGATAGAATGAGGGGTAATGGCTTTAAATTGCACCAGGGGAGGTTCCAGCTGGATATTTGGAAAGAGCAGTGAGGCATTGGCACAGGCTGCCCAGGGAGGTGGTGAAGTCATTGTCCCTGGAGGTGTTCAACAACTGTGGAGATGTGGCACTGGGGGTCATAGTTACTGGGCATGGTGGGGTGGTTGGGTGTGTGTTTGGACTAGGTGACCTGAGAGGTCTTCCCCAGCCTTCATGATTTCATGATTCTTTGATTAATGGTATGCAAATCATATACAAGATGTGTATTGACAAATGTGCATTGAAAGCCATGCGACGCCTAATCATCTGATCTGTACACTGCTGAGTTAAACAAATGTAGGCAGATCTTTAGTGGACTCCCAGATTTTGTGATACAAAGATGTATCCTGATATGGTGATTAAGGTTTTGTAATGACTGAATTTATCTTCTGAGGAAACCATAATGCTAGTGTGGTCAGAGCTAAACATGTTACAATCATCCTAATGAGTAATACAATGCTTAAACGTACTTCTTCAATGTCATAATTCAACTGTTGACAGGCAGAGATAACCTAAAAGTAGCACAACTCCTCTGTGGTCAGACGCAGACCTATTTTGTGACACAGATGAGATCTCTGCTGACCTAAAGAACAGCAAAGATAGGTCAGTTACAGTATGGATGCAGAGGTGTGGATATTTGCATTTCATTGCATGAGAACAGTGTGATTTCCATATATGAATATTCAGACTGAAATTGCTCACCGTAGAACGGGTGATCTTTAAAGTAATTCTTGTGACGTGGAGATCTCTCACAAATCAAGTACAGTCTTTATAAAAAGCAGACCAAAAGTACCAGAGATTATTTCACTCTTCTTTAGCAACCAGGTGAGGAGTCTGCACAACGTGAGGTTGAAACATCAGAAAAGTTTAATCAAAAACCAAGAGGGCCTTTCTTCATTATTATTTTAATATTAATATTGTTGTTAAAACTGGTAATAGTCAGTGCTATGTTTTCTTCTCCGCACAATGGAAAAATGAATGGGTCATAGTTCCAGTTCCCTAAGACAACCAAAAAGTGTTGCCTAATAGTAATGAGTAGAATGACCTCAAGGACTGAGAGCCACGAGTGGGCAGTTGACACTGTTATGATAGAATGACCATTTCTCACAGAACGCAAATGTCTCCCAGCTTCACTGGGCAGCCAAAAGTCATCTGTCTTGGATTAAAAGCAGCTAAGAAGCATCTGGGTCATGTCAGAATAAGCTGATACTAGCAAGAAGAGGGTTCGGAAAAATTGCTTTCTATCAAAAGTAACCTCTGAGACTGTTAAGTCACGATGGAGGTATTTGTTCTCTGGCCACAAAAAGGATATGTTTGCCTGCGCAGTTGGCAAAACATTCCAAAAAGTTGGAATTTTCTGTTGCTCTATGGCAAATATGATATGCTGGATGAAGAGCAATAGACTGTCAACATCTGCCCTCTCCCCCCATACTTTTTTTTGTTCCCCCCCTCTCAGTGGTACTTCTTAGCAGGCATAACTTTGCTACCTGTTCCTGTCGTGGCAGCCCCGAGGAAGCCTCAGAGGTCTTGGGCTGAATGGTTTGCCACAAAAATCACAGCTAACAAAGGGCTGAAGTCCTGTCACTCAGCAGGGTGGAAGGGTGAGCCTGGGAGGGGTTTGGGTGCTCTGTCTTTTTAGAAGGTGGAAGGGAAGAACTACACTGTCTGTTTGCATTATTGTTCTGATTTGTGGGAATATGACTTGATAAAGGTTAGGGAGGAAGTGCAGATAAGTTCTCACAGAATGGAAAACAAGTCTCCCTCACTCAGGAGAGGAAAATTCTACTTCCTCTGTGCAGGGTAGGGAAATCTCTCTCTGTCCTTTTAAGAAAGGATCCCTCTTACCTATACCTAGGCTTATTGCCAATTAAGGCTGTTGCTACACCTCGCTGTTATGTCCTGACGGGCTATTGATATTTAATTTGGCCCACCTTTCCTGACTCAAGTCAGGTCCCAGAAACTACCTCCACCCTCCCGCCCACAGGTTTTAGCACCCAGCTGGTGTGTGTGATGCCGATCACCTGCGCTGAAGCTAGCTCTCAGATGTGCTGCATTGTGCCTCGGGATCAGCATCCTATCATCTACAACCCTCTGCATTGTGCAACCATATGCTAGCAGGGCAGGCAGCTATAGGAAGAAGCCAGAAGTGAGAATGTAAGGGGTGGTAGCTAAAGAGGGATGAGCAAACAGAACTGTTTTTCTAACAAAGAAATATTGTTTCCAGAGAAGCTTAGAACCTGTAATTTTTGGTGAGATGGGTTGGGAATGGTGGATAATGGTGCACAGCACAGGACCTGTTGCATGGCAGCGTCAGGGGCTTATAGTTGCCATTGAGAGGAAGAGTGATGGGAAAGCAGAAACCATAAAAATATAACTAAACAGTTTTTTCCAGAAGATGTAACGTGCTCAGAAATAGATTATCAGAGGCAGATAAATAATAAGGGGAAAAGACAAAAATTAGATTGTGAAAGAAGATGCAGTGATGTTATGAGGACCTGAAGTCTGGCATCCAGCAGCAAATCTGAGGACACAAAATGTTACTTGACTCATATGGCATGTGAAGCATGCGATGGTATCATGAGCTTGTAACTAGGAGCCTGTTTGTTGGTCCCTGGGTGTGTGGTATGAACTGGAGGACTTAATGTTGGGCAGCACACTCTGATTCTTGTGTTTCTATTCATAACTGGAGCATATGGGTCACATTTTCTAGAGTGCTTCTGCTTTAGTTCCTGAAGAATCCAGTGTGTGGAGTGAGGCTGCTCCACCATGCAAACCAGACCATCGTACCTGGGGATGGGGAAGTTTCAAATGTACAGCCCCTGCACTTACACAAGCTTGTGAATGTGACCACCTGCAAAGGAAAGATCTTTCATGGATCCACACGTAACTGCTTTGGAAGTCATTCCCAGAGTGGTCATTTGATCAACATCAATTAATTTATTCTGTGGTAAGGTTTTAAGTGGTGTTGGTGGGCACCCCATAGGTTCTAGGGATACAGTTACTTCTGTTCTTTCTCTGATGCATATAGAAGGACAGGCTAGGGCTGGAATTGGGGGCTGTACTGAATCTTTCCTAAAAATACTGTACTAAATTATTGCTGTTTCATAGGATAGAAGGTGAAACCTCCTTATCTAATGTGTTTGGATTCCTGCAAAGATACGTGACTTGTTTCGTCACCACATTTTGTAATCCTGTGATACAATTTGGCTAATTTCTTGTAGAACAAGAGGGAGCAGGTTTTATTTGATTCTGATGTTGATTCCTGCCAGCTGCAATTCGCATCTACATCTCAGAGGTATTAAAACAAACAAACAACAAGTAGCTGACTTAAACCTAAAGCTTCAGTTTGGTTCCTGTGGTGAAATACTGAAATGAGGCAGTCATTTCAGTATGAGGTAGAAAGTCTGACGAAGGAGGATAGTAATTTGACCAGACTTCATTTGGAGAAGTTCTTTCTATGCATTATGTTTTTTTTAGAAGAGAACATTTTAGATGATTCGAAAACCACACCTACTTGATTTTGTGTTATAATTTATTGGCAGGACACCTCTGGTAAACTATTTGACATATTGACAAGTTCTCATTTGACAGCACCTTATTACCAGACATATATTCTTCTACCCTGTGTTATATCTGGTGAGTAATTGCTTATCAATTACATGGAAGTGGGTGGAGCTAGGGCGGGAGAAGGGGTAAAAATTTTGCTATCAGTGAGAGCATCTCTGGTGGCACAGTTAGAGTGCTGCAGCTCTCTCCTAGGAATAGCTTTGGCTTTTAGAATGTGTAATTTTTGTTTGCCTCTGTCTCCTGCAGCTTGCCTGATTCTCCGCAGCAGATGAGCAAATATTCTAAAAAAGTCAGCAGGTTGATGTTTTAAAGGAGCAAGCATGGAAGAAAGTAAACAGGGCTATAGCCTTGCGGAGGGCAAAACTTTGTTAATCTGGCTGACTTCATTTGTAGTGCTAGTTCTGTTGCCTTCGATGTTTAGAGTGTCTTTGGGGATTTCTCATGTCTATGTGAAAATTGTAATAAAAACATTGGAGGTAAGTTGAGAATTACATTAAAAGGTACGTGTTTTCTACAGGACATTTTTAATTTTAAATATACCTGTTCATTTGAATTAGATGCCATTAAAACCACTAGGAATGTTTCCATTAATTCTGAGACTTTTGGATATAGGGTGTTGGGTTTTTAGGGGGTGACAGGTGTGGTTTGTTTGTTTGATTGACTTTTGGTGGGATTTTTTCCCCACTTTTGACTTACATGATGGTTCCTTTGAATGATACCTTTAATGATATTTAGTTAAGTGTTGGGTTATAGTACAGTATCAGGTTGTTTTCTCGTGTTAAAGTAGAGATTCCACGACACATTGCTAATAGTTCAAGCTGGTTACAATACTTCATGCTATATTTTGGGAAAATCAAATATAATTGAAATGATGCACTAATTTATGAGAAGTTGTAAATGGCAAAAAAAAAAAAAAATGTATTTGACAAGTATGTAAGTTTAATGGATTTGGTTTGGTTGTTTCAGTTATAGAACAGTACTAATTCCTGTAATAAGTGAGAATACAGACTGCACTTGTTTCAATTCCATTTATAATTCTGTGTGATCCAACAGTCACAACTTCTGCTCTGCAAGAAATGCAGAGCCACCCTCTGGAAGTGCACTTCTAGAGAAGTGAACAGGTCATGGCTAAGATCCTGATTCTGCTGATAATTGTGAATTCTTCTTTTGGGTTTTAATAAGCGAGGATTTCATGTTGTCTTTCAGGTCTGATCTTTTTATGCCCACTAATGGCCAAAAGTAGGTGCTGTCAGTTTGTCATATTAAAATGTCACATGGCAATGTGATATAATTAATACTACCTCTCTCCTGCCCTGCCAATTCTCTATAGTTTCTGTCTTATTAGAATTTCTCTATCTCTCTTTTTTTTTTTTTACTAGTGATTAAGAACTCTTTGTCGAAGACTGTCTTCAGCTGTTCAGACATCATTTAACATAGTGGAAATGGCTACAACCTGTAGGTGTTACCAGTTGTTTTCAGATATTGATATCAATGGGATATGACCAACTACCATGGCATTATGTAATATTGGCTTTTATGTGTGATACTTTACTTTATCAGCCACTGGTATGGTGATGAAACTCTTACCAGTATCTGAGTAAGAAGAGCTCATTTGACAGCTTTACTGCTGCAGTTGACAGATATTTAAATACTCATTGTGGGTTTTGTTGTTTGTTTGTTTGCTCCCTATCTCCCCCCTCCTCTATGCTTTTGCCAATCTCAAAGGAAATTTGACCATTGTGGAGCTGCTTTCTGTAGGAAGACTTTCTCCTTGGAAAGTACTTTTTTTTTCTTTTTCAATTGTCTGAAGTTTACAAGCACAGTAATCTTGCCTTCAAAACGTATAGGGTTGTTTTATCAGAGAAAAAAAGTAGTAAGTCAATAGTTCTGTGATCTGATCCATCCTCTTATGTATAATTTCCCAATTCTGCAGCAGCTAATAACACAACAAAAAGTACTGCAGTTCAGGCTGATTCTATGTGGGCATTTTTTGGTTTTGTCATTCAGTTGGAAGTTGATCCCTGACTGTCTTGAAAGCAAATAAATATTTAATCTGTCCTTATATTCTGATTAATTTTAGCTGTTTTTAGGCTGAGGTATTATGCAAAAGGCTTTTCACACCACAAGAGTAGCAAAGATGTATTTTGATGGGAAATGGGGGAGAGGATGGAGGGTAATTTGGGTCACCTTTACTTCTGCTACGACTCACTTTGCCATGAGGAAGTGTGAGCAGTACTGGGAAATGCTGGGCTAAGGCCTTTGCTTACACTTTCTGGGCCTCTTCTGAAAGTCCTGGGGATCATACCAAGTAGCAGTATGGAAACTGCTACTTGACATGCAATAAGCTTTAAGGCAGACTTGCACACAGTTCAAGACATGAGCAACTTGGCACTGATAACCTAGTGAAATGTCAACCTGTTTCTAGCTGTGAAAGTGTTTGTCTGAGCTCTTGCTAACAGGGTGATGCAGAAAGACTGTTCTGTGTTGTTGTTGCTAGCTTGAGTGGGGAAATAGGATGCCTTGTCCAGTAGCTACTCCAAAAATCCTTATAGTCGTATACCAGCTTGATGGCAATGGTATTCCAGCAATATCTGCTCTTTAGGTAGTACATAACAACTGATTGATATTTTACAAGAAATACAGCCTTGGATGCTGACTGGATTATCTATTGTTATGCATTTGATTTAGTCTGTTATGTAGTCTTGCAAAATAAATAGAAAATTTCTAAGAGCAGTCTATATTTGCTTTGTACAACTTTAAATGAATGCACAAATGTGGAGACAGAAGAAAAACGTGATTTACTTTCCTCCAGGTTTTCTGAACTTGAGAAAAATAAAAGAGTAGATGTGAAAATCGGGTTTTAAGACCAAATACTATTTTTTTCAATATTGCATTTGCAAAGAAAGGATATCTATAGCCCTTACTGAACTTGCTTGGAGCTCAGATTTGCGAAACTTGTTCATAAGCAATGGGTAACATTGGCATTTGATGAAGTGCCTCTTTCTGATTTCCATCTTTGCTGAAGTGTTTTAGTTTGGTCAGTGATTAGTAAAAGCTTGTGAGAGGTCATAGGAAAAGAAAGATAGTAAAACATGGAAATGGAAGGATAAAGAGATAAAAATGAATTATTACACAATACAGAAAAAAAAAAAAATACTGAACAACACACTGGCCTCTACTTAAAGGGAAAAAGGAGAAGAAAAACAGACGAAATGAGATTTAATAAGTTAGTGTTTGGTATCGTATAGCTTATAACGTATGTACTATGAATAGAGTAATTAATATAATATAGTACTATGGGTGCTCATTTTGTTCAGAAGGTAATTATAGGGCACCTCGCATGGGCTGTTGGAGCTGAGGAGCCGAATCTTCAGTAGTTCAAGTGGGATCACCTGAGGGATGTTTGGACTTTTTGTGTCCTCATCACTTGAGAAGTGGGTGGGAGGAAAGCACGATATCTGAGTTGTCATTCACTCAGCAAACTTAGGAATGAAGTTAGTCCATTCAGCTCTTCAATTCTGTGTTAGTTACAACATCTGTGGTTTTGTAAGCTATTTAGAACAGCCTCTCATTACAGTTTTGCAACAAAGACCAGACAGACAGATCTGTCTCAATACTGTACAAAATAAAAGCAATCAAAAAGCCTTATTTCGTATTTCAAAAACAAATTAAGCGTACAGATGTCACAGAATCCTGGAGAAGATGGTAACTAAGCTACTGTATCAGTCCAAAAGATTGACCTAGCCCTGGCTTTGGCAGGAGACAGCGTATGTGCTTGATGAAAAGCCTAAGAGCCACATGAATGTACAGCTGTGTTGCTAAGAACACTCTCCCTGTTACTCACTGCTTCAACCTCTTGTGCTGATTTGTAAGTTAGGAGAGGTGACTTTGTGTTGTGTATCCCATGATGATATTTGTCTGTGCCTTAATGTTCCTTGAACCCATCTCAGTTGGTCTTTAACAATATGTTCTCAACAATGAACTCCACAACTTAGCTGTCAGTTCTATGACAAGGTGTTACCTTTCTGCTGCTCATATCCATTGCCCAGTACTTTCATAGGATGCTCCCTTGTAGTTGTGTTAGAAGACAAAATAAGTAATTGTATCTCATGTGCCTGCTGTGCACCAGCTGAAATTCTGTAGATGCTGTTTTCCAGGCTAATGTGTAACCATTCCTCTACTGGAAGCCCTTCCTCATCTGCCTTGTCCTCTGCCTTTGTTGCCTTAGTTGCTTCCTTAATTACAGAGCATTGCTCTTGTCCCTCTATTTCTCTCTGCTGTGAGGCAGGGTGTTATGCTTTACGAGTCAATTTCTTCAATGTCTGTTTGGTTTTGACTTACCTTGCTCATTCAATTAGTTAATATATTTTTCTGAGTCACTTAGTGATTGTACCGTTTTTCTACTCTTTTTGGGAATCAAAAGGTAGACTTCTTGAGATATTCACAAGACAGTAAGGGCAAACTGATTCTGGAGGTACTTGCCAACTGGTAGACTGTTCATGTATGTGCATGACAGGCAAGATAAGGGTGACAGACAAAATAGGAGAAAAAAGAAAGTAAGAAAAGGGTCTTTATTTGCTGAACTTTGGTGATTTTTTTTTCCCCATCTTTTTTCTTTTCATCCCTCATTCCTTTGGATACTGGGGAAGGGATGAATGTGTGCAGATTGAATTTTCCACGTCTACCTTGATTTTTTTTTTTTTTTTTCCCCCCCAGAATGTTCTTTTTCATGTGGATTATCTTCTTTCTTTTCTCAATATGTGGGCTGTAATTTTTTGATATCTCCTAGATTCCCACTCCTGAATGACTCACCATGTGTTATCACAGCTTGAGACGGTTGATGTACCAGTTCAGCTTTCTTAGGGAGTAAGTGATTCTGGAACAGCCATTACATTTTAAATTTACACTGTATTTTAATTTTCTAGTGTAGATAAGGCAAAGGTTTGTATTTTGTTGCTTTTTCTTCCCCCTCACCCCCCTCCCCACCTTGGTCTTATGTAAGATAGATTTAATGGAGTTTAATGCATCACATCACTGTGTTTTTTTTAATCTTTTCCTTTGGGTGTGTTTCCCCCCCACCCCCCCCACCCCCACAAGATGCAGGTAGCAAAAGTCAACCAAAGGTAACTACAACATCCTGATTCTGCCATGATAAACTGTCTCTGTCTTGCCATTGAGTTTAATTTCAATAGCTAAGAAAGGAGCTGTTAGGAACCATGCAAAACTTAAGCATAGCAAAAATCTAGTCAAAGTCAATGGTACATGCAGATTTATAGGTCTGCAATGCAATGAAAATCCTTTGTGGTCAATCTGTGTGTTGCTTAAATGGTTATGCATGTCAGTTAGATGAGAAACAAACTGTTTGCTAAGAGCTTACTAAGAACTGTTTACTAAAAGCTTGAATAGAAGGATGGACTCTTGTCTGCAGTAGGTGGAAGAGTTAATGTCAGGTGAGGACATTTGCTGAGTGGGTCACTGATTCCTTAAAAGACAATCAGAGCCTATGAACAGGAACCTGAGGTTCTTTAAGACGCATACTGATACAAACTGAGGAAGATCTAGTACTGTGGGGTTCTGTTTATATGCCCATATAGGTATAATGAAAACATTTTGTGCCAACATAAAACTTAGAAGTAGGCTTATTGGTATGGTTGATCTTGAGTTTAGTCTGCACAAGTAGAAGAAATTTTGCTTCCTTTCAAAAAGGTGGGGAAGGATAAAAGCTCTTTACCACAACTACTACTTTGGAAATGCTGTGAATATGAAGTAGTCCCTCCTTTGTATTCTGTTAATACAAATTGCATGAATGCTGTAAGACTGACGTCATCTCTTTTATTCTCAGAAATTCATTTTTAAGTCTTTTTTTCCCAGATTGTTTCTCATGTCAGTAATATTAGTTTGCATCATTCTGTTGCTTGAAACTGACTGGGGAAGACAGCATTTGGAACTCTTGGTCCTCAGAGAATCTCATAGATAGCTCAGTAATATGGTTAAAGAAAAATAAAAACTCGTGAAAATGACTTTGAGCCAAATAATCTTTTATTATAATGACTACAAGTAATCAGTGTAACTAACAAAATAGGAGGCGTTCAAGACAGCCTTCAGGCTGAATTTGAAAACTGAAATTCTGAGTCCTGGCTTCATTAAAGGAGGCTCAGACAATTCATGTAGAAATGTTACGGAGTACCTAGAAATGACAAAATGAGAACCATCACCATCTATTTTTCTTGTTTTGAGAACAGTGGGCCACCCTGCAGATTGAGAAGGGAATTAAAATGCAGAAGGTGCTGGCACTTGAAAATTTAATCGCCAACGGTAAGATCTCTGAACAAAAGTGACACAGCAATGTTCATCTGGTATAAAGGCAGCTACTGTGATACCTTACCCAGGAAAGAGTGAACAGATATATAAATTTAATCTCATTTTAAGTAGGAAAACTAGAACGGTAAATAAAAAGTTAATGAGCAAATAGTTACTGATGTTGTAAACCAACAAATGAGGCCTTATGTGTATAATAAGAAAGATGTCTGTGAATGATTGAGCCTTCTGAATAAAAGGCATTGAAGGAAACCAGTGTGGGTAAAGAAAGAAACTGCTGATAACCAGGAGGGAAGCTGTCTCTCTTTTCATGTCTGTTTTGTATTTCTGACTCCAACAGTTCTCTCTATTTACAAGATTAAGAGTGACTCATGTCTGGTTGCTGTGGGCATTGGTCATTTTTGGTTTTCTCTTGCTTCTTGTACCTCCTAGCATACAAAAGCCTGAGTCTCAAATAAAGCAGCTATGCTATGCTGTGGATTGCAGACACCTCTTGCACTTTCTCTAGGTATAGGGAAAGAATTAGAGAGAGTAAATTTTTTTCACATCTATTTTTCTGTTCTTTCCCAGAAAGGAATTGGCTAGTGCCATTCTTAGTCATTAGTCACATGGACTGCTTTATTAACTAATTACCTTCAAGTCTGGTGATTTCCTGAATGTTGTAAGTTTGACCAAAGTGCAGCTGGAGGAAGTTTTCTGATTCTGATCAGTTAATGGTATACTGATTAAAGGTCTTGAAATGAGCCTTTTTTTAAAAATTAAAATAATAATAATAATAAAAAAACCCTGAATGTTAGCTGATATGGTTCAGTGAAATTCTAGTCATTGTAACCAGCCAGAATCTGGTCTCTGAGTGACCTCAACAAACATCAGTATGATCACAGGTGTGGCTGTCCTGTGAGGCATTAATTTTACAGATATGAAATATGAATTAGTTTTTATTCTTTCTCTACTGTACATTTATCTTATGGTGTGAATAAATCAGAGAAAAATCTAAAGCTTTAATGTTTGTTGGTAGTGAGATGACTCTTATAGGAGAGAGGATGGGGAGGAGATTACTGAGGAAAAAAATGTCAGAGGAAGGTGTTTGTTACAGCTGGGAAAATACTGTGGAAAAAGTAGAACTAAACCACACAGTGAAATCAACAACAATATAAACAATGCCTAGCTTTGAGTCAAGGCAAGAGGAAAGATCTGTAATCTAAGCAGTACACTGACAACTTGGAGCTGTGTGTGCTTACACTGTTTGATAAATGACAGTGAAGTAGGTGTTGTGCTCAAGGTTTTATTTGCAGCTCATTCTGAATGCTTGTCTCCTTCGATAATTTGTAATATGGCATAGGATTAGAGAAGTAACTTATGGAATTAAGTGCTAATATATACACAAAGCATACCAATGCAATTATGGTGCTTAGAATAGAAGGGAAGATATTTCTAAAAAGTACAGTTATTTTACTTTTTTTGGACTCTACATTGTCCATTTTACGGAGTGGGAAGGAAAACTCATTTCCTCATGCTGTTGGCTTGTTTTTTTGTCTTTATTTTTCTATTTGTTTCTTGAAACAAAGGGATCATCCAGAGAGAGGAAACCTCCATGGAAAAGGAGATTGCTGGCCAGCATAGGGGATACTTCAGCCTTGCAGATATTATGTACTTTGCCAAGAAGGGGTGTGAGGCAGTTGCAGAAGATGAAGTCACACAGCGGTTCACCTCTGAGGAGCTGTTGTCCTGGAATCTCCTCAGCAGAACCAATGCCAACTTTCACCGTGTCAGCTGGCAACTGACTGCTGTGTGGGTCATTGGGATCTTAATCCGGTACTGTCTCCTGGTGCCTTTTCGGTGAGCCAAGGGTAATTTGTTGGGATTGTTTTTAATATCTTTTAATAGAAGGTATGACGTTATATGTCACTGACTAGTGCACAGATGAGGATGTGACATGACTTTGCTTTCCAGGTTGCCACCAAAGATCTCCAGAGGGGGAAAAAAGAAAGCTCAAGATGCGTGTTTCTTATGTTCTGTATATTTTACTAGTATATTTTATTAGTATGCAAATACATCTATTCGTCTAATTTGTTTTTTAAATCATAGCAATGATCTGGAGATCTTTTCATTATGTAAAATAAAAGCTGTTTCAGCTGAGAGTGTCGGGCTTTACCTGTATGAGAAAGAGAGAAACACTGTATGCCAAACCCTTGGGATGTGAAGCAAAGCCAGTGTTCTGTCAGTGCAGGGCTGGATGGAAGAAAGATATCCCACAGAATGTGTTTCTTTACAGAAATTTGTGTTGTTTTACATGAAAACAGCCTTTATCACTTTGACAAGGCAGATACAACTATAAATGCATTCTAGTAAGGAGCAGAACCTTGTAAAATGTCTTACTCTTTTTGAATATGTTGAAGGATTTCATAACAGTTAAGCACATAGCAGAGCCTGTGTGTCTACTTAAATATGTAGAAGCCACTTAAGTAGAGGACACCATTTATGTAGGAATAACTTCAGTGTTTGTTTTGCTAAGCCAGTAGTGTCCAACAGTACCCAATTTTCATGGTTCTAGAGTAATTTACTGCTTGGAATAGAAATAGCTACTGAAATTTCTGAGTAGATTTTTAAAAGCTTGATGGTAGCTCTCTGTTTTGCTACTCAGGAATTTCACCTGTGATAACAAATCACATAATCATTACTTGCCATCTTCTTTGAAGACAATGAATTATTCTCCACTCGATGCCTTGCGACCAAGTTGTGGCTCTTTTTGTAAAATAGGCTTCAAGAAGCACAGTTTTCTACTGGAGGATTAATTGAAAAAAAAACACCTGTACTCATATCTCATTGGCCTTGACTGCTTTGTGATGATAGTTTGATGCTATTTATGGTGGATAGAAGCATCCTGGAAAAGAATTAAAGGATTAAAAGATTTTCTCTTTCAACTTGCTCTTCCAAATTTCATTCTTACCAATTAATGAAGATTATTTTACTTTTTAGCATCTTCTTGGCTTTCTTCAGCATCCTCTTGCTGGTCTCAGCAACTACAGTAGTAGGACAGTTTCCAAATGGCAGGTGGGTGTTTTCTGAGGGCTTTTTCCACTTCTCTTGTATTTCTTCAAGGACCTGAATTAGGGTATTGGAACTGAAATATACTTGAATTTGCAGAGTTGATGTGCGCAATTGTGAAGTGACTTTTCTCTTCCAGGATTAAACACTGGCTGAGTAACCAGGTTCAGCTGACATGTGCTGCATTAGGTGTCCGATGTCTGAGTGGTCTTGTTCAATTCCACAACAGGTGAGCGATGCAACCCTGCTCTTGTCTATTATTCATTTCACACAGTGCTGAATCTCAAGTTACAGAGGGGGTTTTAATTCCATTAATACACTGATACTCATCTTGAATTGCAGCCTTGGTAGAATTGCGTAGATCATGTAGACTCTGCCTTGATTTCTTTCAAGATGTTTTTGCTGTGTTGTCTCTTGGGTATTTGCAGAGAATGCAGTGTCGGAGTAGTACTGTATTCTTCATTAAATACAGACAGACATTTTCCTTTATGTTTGCTATTAACACGTTATAATTGCCTAGAAAAACATCACCACAAAAACACCAACTGCTCTATTAGCCAACTTGATAACCTGAGTCTTCATATTCACCTCTCTAATATGTTATGGATGATGTTTCAATAACTACTTCTAATATCTTGCTTGTTTAGTTGTGAAGGTTTATGTAACAAAGGCCCTCAAAATAATTTTTGTTGATAATTTAGGAAGAAAAGAAAGCCATGCTTCTTAGTATCTATGAGTTCAAGTTTAGTGCTTGAGTAGTCTTTGATATATGCCTCTGAGAATGGTAATGAATGCTGTTGAAATGCCCTCTCCGATGACGATGCATATTCTGAGCTGTAAGGAAAATGGTTTTGACCAAAACTACTTGAAATCTGAAGGAATTCTCAAATGTATGGGAAAAGATGGCTTCTGTAATATACAGCCAGAAGTTTTAACATACCTTAGAGTTATACTTGTATTTTAAGTTGTCTTGTGTTCTTATGCTTCCCTTATCTACAGATAATGTATATACATTATATGTTTTTGTCACCAAGGATCTTTGTTGTGGTTGTACATTCGCTAGATAGATGACCTGGTGGGGCCTGCAGTCTGAAGAATAAACGTGAAGTAATTACTCTCATGGCTGTTGTTACAGGGAAAACAGACCACAGAAAGGAGGCATCTGCGTAGCCAACCACACATCTCCACTAGATGTTCTAATCCTGGCTAGTGATGGATGCTACTCCTTGGTATGAGCAAGACAGCTGGTAAATATTGGTAATATTGAGGCACTCACAGATATGGTGTTGGACAGGAGGATAAAGTTATTGGTAGAGAGAGTGGGATTTCCAAACATTTAAATTCTCCTATTTGGAACTTCTGTTCAGACAGGTGAGTGAATGCACACTTTTGGCCAAAATAATTGGTATAATTCACAGAACAAGTTTGGTTTAGAAGTTGATACATCTTTAGTTAGAATTTAGTCAATTAAATAATTGTGTGTATTTTTGCCATATAAATACTTCACTTTTTGGCTTGCAGGTTGGCCAGGTACATGGAGGGCTTCTGGGGCTTATTCAGAAATCTTGTATGCAAACCAGTCAGCATGTTTTGTTTGAACGTTCAGAAATGAAAGATCGTCATCTAGTGAGAAAAAGGTAGGACAGTGAGATCTTTGCTTACTTTTCTCATCAGTTCTTGTAACTGTGAGGTCCCATTGTGAGCTGAGAGAGTTCTGACCCTGCATCTCTTCTTGGCAGGCAGCTGTAGGCATTTGTAAGATTTGGAACTACTCTGACAATGAAGATGCATGCTGTAGCGCTGCTGTTTGGAGCTTTTGATTGATTGTCCTCTAACCTCTGTGAATTTCCACATTGGTACAATCAGGCTGCTTGCCGCAGGCAGATGCCTGCTCATTCATTTTCAAAGTTTATGATTCTGGATGTCAGGATCAACATCACAGTTCTGTCAGCATATCATTTTCCTAGATCATATCTTACCCTTGCACATTTTCCCAAAAGCTCTGAGCATCACAAGTCTGGTTATGTCTGTTGTGAGTACAGGAAAAAGGGAAGCTGATAATAGTGAACATTAACATTGGGTTAGCTATTTGCTTGTGGAGATTGACAGACTATCTGAGGAAGCCAGTTGCAGCTTATTAGAAACATCCACAGTACTCAGCTGTCTTGCACGCGAAAGTTTGCAGAAGGAATTAAACAAGTTTGTAGATGGTACCACCTAGCTGCTAGAAGCTGGAAGAGCATCTTGGAGAAGTGTCAGTGCCTGATGCCTGTGCTGCTCCAAAGGCCTGCAGTACTATTCCTGGCAGAGAAGGTATATTCGACTTTTAAGGACATGAAAATGATAGACTTGTTACAGCATTTGTTGGTGTCTTAGGTCCTCATGGTCACCTGGAATCTTCATGAAATAGGGCGCAATGCAGCTAACATGAAACAAGCACTTATGGCAATTAGTCCTTAGGAAAGGGAAAAGGTGCCCCTTTACTGGACAGATCTGTGTTTTTTTGTTGTTGTTTTTTTTGTTGTTTTGTTTTGTTTAAACTCTTTTACATGGAGTTCAGAGGAACTGTATGCTCTTGATTCATAGAAAAGACAGATAGGCATCTGTGTGTCAGTAATCTGCTTACGTGGATTATTTGCTTAAAAGCAGTTGTCTTTAAGTAATGAAGAAAATGCAGTAAAGTAGCTTTGTTTCTCGTATGTAGGTGTGGAGAAACATTAGATGTGTATATATATGTTTGTTTATATATATATACATCAGCACAAAACTTTAAAATATAGAATATTCTTTATTAAAAAAGCAAAACAGCAGTCAATAAAAATTCAACGTTATTCATTACTAGAACCTGTCAAAGCTTTTTTGTGAAAAATCTATTTATTTAGCAAGAGAAAACCTTCAAGGCATGAAACTAGTACACATCATTGCTGAGACCACTGTCTAAGAACTACTGGGCAAGAGCTTTTCCTGTTCTATGTAAGAGAGAATCCATATTTAGATTCCCGACCGCACAGAAATACGAGAGTCTTCTGCAAAAATGAAGTGTACACTGGAATTCTATTTTCTCTCCACAGAATCAGAGAACACATTGCAGATAAGGCCAAATTACCCATTCTTATTTTTCCAGAAGGTAGGAACCAACTCTATATTTCTTTGCTCACTTTACACTGAGTGCAGTTTATCATGTCTAATCTTTAAAACTGAGGTGTTTGTTTTTAATTGTAGAATTATTGAGCTCTTGTGAGATATTAAAAGTGAGATTCTACTATGTAACACAATTTTATGACAGTTTATTTGGTTTAGTGTTTTGCAACCTGACTCCAAGCTACTGTGGGTAATGTGTGGAGATCACAGAGCTCAAGAATCATTTGGAGTAAATTAAGGTGAAATGACACCAAATGATCAGTTAAATGTTCTTCTGTATCCCACTATGATATTTTGATTTGAGTATCTATTATAGCTTATTGCCAATAAGGTATAGTATGACTTGCTTTATGTTCTAATATGACTTGGAAAGAGAGAGAGAAAAAGAGAAAAGGGGGGGGGAGAGAGAGAGAGAGGAAAGAATAAAACAAAAATATGAGTTATCACCACCCTTGGATCTTGCAGTGTAGTCACGGTTGCTCTTCCTGTGTGGGTGCATACCTGAACTGGCAGTATTCTGCCTTTCACGTGCTTGTGATCCGCCCCCCCAAGAAGTGGTTCAGTCAGCAGTTGTAAATGAGTCTGGGGTCTCAGGCTGTTAGGCCCCCTCTAACGTTGTAATCACAGCAGGGCCTTACCCCTGCCCAAGTGCAGTTTGAGATTTGAGATCTAGACTATTCTGGGAGTGAGTCAGAGGGGCTTCAGGAGGTCTCATTCTCCCTCTGCCCAGATGTCTATTAATTGACCCTCTTTGGTGTGAAGGTGTGGTTTGTCAGATCTCTCCTTTTCCTACTAAATTTTCCTATTGTAATTCAACACATCTTTATATTATTGCAAACTGACTCTCCTCCTTCATGAGACCCTCCTCCTCCAATCACTCCTTATCTGGTTAAGTGGTGATCTCCTTTTACACTTCTATCAAGTGTTTGGGACATTAACCCGTTCGCTTCTTAGTCTCTTACCTAGTGCTTAATACAATGGAATTACGTTTCTGAATGAAAGATTTTTTTCTCTTCTAGCAATTTCATTATCTTTAAGGCAATATAGTATGTACTTGCTGACATTTTTTTTGCAGAATGGACTGAACTTTTCACTCGTTTCCATTCTGGCCAGGTACCTGCATAAACAACACATCAGTTATGATGTTTAAGAAGGGAAGCTTTGAAGTAGGAGGGATCATCCATCCGGTAGCTATCAAGGTAAGTATGGAAAATGATTTTGCTTAATGGCTTGGGAACGACTTGAAACAATGCTGTGTGTTTAGTTCTACTTGGTCTTTATGTTCTGGGGTTACTGCCTCATCATGGATAAAGGCACTAGTAATTGAAATATTCCCTTGGCACTTGCAAGTCTCTCTAGTAAACTTTAGCCAAGTTATTCTGGCTGTAGATACATGACTTCCTTTTCCTGAAGCTATAACATTGCATAACCTTATGGAAATTGTTACAAGTAGTGTGAGCATAATCAAGTCAACCTTTCAAGTCAGCATATCTGTAGATGATAAATCTTTACATATTGAGTAGCTCTATCTGGTTACAGTTAAGATTTATTTCAGTGGGTCTGTCCTAGTTTGGGGTCCTGTGTTACTTGTAAGGGTTCTTAGAATTACAGAATATCCTGAGTTGGAGAGGACCCACAAGGATCATAGTGCCAGGGGCTGAGCTCAACTCAGGACCATCCCACATTAAAACCCAATGTCTGAGAGCACTGTCCAAATGCTTCTTGAACTCTAGCAGCGTGGTGCCATGATCACTGCCCTGGGGAGCTTGCTGCAGGCAATCCTTTTCCTCAACCAACTATCAGTGCTGTGTCTGATTCACCGCTGGGTACCGTTGGCTCTTTTTTTTCTGCCAGGATATACAGGTTAACTTGTATTAACTTGTAACAAATGCTAAAACATGGAGCTTTGAACTCTAATTACTTCTAGGAGGTGTGATTAGATTTGTCCCTCATGTAATAAGTCATTATATGATTTCACGGCAAAAAAAAAAAAAAGCCTATAAGATTGGAACTAAGCACAGCTGCACTTGTATATAGTTAAGGATGTGCTCTTATTTTGCATGTACTGGGTGTTCTGTGCCTTTGGGTTGTCTTTCTTCAGAACTGGCATCATGTTCTTTCTGCCATCGTATCTTTTTGTACTCTTCTACTGTATCATCACGGAAGTGCTTCTTTTATCTCTGGATGATCTCTGATTGCTGTTACCTCTGCGCTTGTCGTTCTGTGTGTGTGTTGTACACCTTAATGTACCACCTAGCTAGCAGTTTGAGCCCTTTAGCTTATTCTTGTCTTCCAGTATGACCCTCGCTTTGGAGATGCATTCTGGAACAGCACCAAGTATTCCATGATGACCTATAGTTTTAATGTGTTGACCAGCTGGGCTATTGTCTGCAATGTGTGGTACCTGCCACCAATGGTCAAAGAGGTACTTATGCTTTTGCCTGTGTTTTGGAAATGCTCACAAATCATTTCTAAGAGGAAACCTGCATTACTACTGTCATGAGGTCAGCAAATCTTTATTGACAGTGTAATGGAAGAAGTTGTAAGTGATACTGTACTCCTAAATTTAAGTAGAGATTGTAAATCAGGATGTGCAACCTATTAGGATAATGACAGCAAGCCTAATAGATGAGGGTTGCTCTGAAAGTAATTTTATTTCATTATGTTGGTTTTGTTATTTCCATCTCTAAAGTTCATGGTGCACTCTTTACATAAATTAAGCTAATTTTTGTGAAGGTTGTAAACTTCCTGTACCATAGTCACTTACCTATGCATGGATATCTCAGAGCCCTTGTAACTGCACAACTGAAGTATAGTCACCATTCATACATGCCTGCTGCAAGAAAAACTGCACATTTAACAAAACAAAGTTGGAAACTGTAAAAGATGGATTTGCATCCTTTCTCTGGCTTGTTTCTCACTGAAGTTCTTGGCTGACCTGGTATACAAAACATTTATAACACATAGGTTTATATGCCATCCATCTATTTAGAAACAAGAAAAAAAAAGTCCTTTAATTTTAATAGACTTGAGAAGGCATAACAGTAGCTATAGGAAGGTGTAGGTGGATCTTAGGTCCAGAAGATTATCTTTTTTACTGTTTTTTTTTGGTTTTTTGGTTTTTTTTTTTTTTACTAGAGAGCACAGCACTTTTCCTTACCTAGTGACCAAGTTCCAGGAAATTAATAGTCTTATAAAATTCTTTCTAGAGTTTTCATTTGGCTAGTTTCTATCTGCTTCAGAAACGCTATTTACTAGCTCCCTGCAAGTCAGACCAATTTAAGTAATTTAATATTTTATAGTCATTTCTCTGTGTGGTTATTTTATTTTCTTTCTGGCACAATGAGATTGTGTGGGATACTGGAAACAGCAGAGAAAGCTGTATAACATGGGTGTGTAAGCCCACTGCACCTGAGCACCAACCTGACGTTGAGAGCCAGGACTTTCACTCTAGCAGTGCCAATTCTGGTATTGCCTACCACAGCTTTTGTTCAGCCCTAGTTTTAGAAGGCAGGCTGCTGCTAATGACACTCAAAAAAAAATTGAGTGTCTTCTGCAGTGCAGCAAACAGACCCTCACTGACTCATGAAAATTCACTGGTACTGTAGTGTCTGGCCCCAGCTCTGTTCAAGGCACTTCATGTCCTCCAAGGTGATCCTTTCAGTGTGTTCCCAGCTTCCTGGGATTAGATTGGTGCCAAGGTAATGGGTGCACATACATTCCCATGCTCTGGCCAGACCTGTGACCTTGTTCTACATGTTACTTTGAATTGCCATGGAAAGCATGGAGTCTCACACTTTGTTCTCTTGGCACTGGATGATGGCAAACTCAGCATGCTGACTTGCCAGGTGGCATTCCTGAGGAGCAGCTGAAGTATATCTGTGTCATAAACTGAAGTGCCCGGTTTCTGACAAAAGGTGTCTCTTTGGGTGAGACATAGAGAAAACATTTCAGCTGTACAGCAAATCACTGATATCTTTTACAGGAAGAAGAAGATGCTGTTCACTTTGCCAACAGAGTCAAGGCGGTCATTGCTGCTCGGGGAGGAATGTCTGTACTTCCATGGTAAGAGGGAACGTCTTTTGAAGATGAGCTGAAGGCGTATTTGGGTGTTTTGTAATCTAAAACTTAATCCTGGATTCTTTTTAAAACTTCTTCCTTGTTTTCTTTGCTTTGGCTGTAGTCCATCACCCTTACAGACTCTGAGTGAGGCACTATTTCCTTATTCTGTGAACAGCTTTACTAGTATAGGTAGGCTAATAAAGTATAAAAAGATAAACAGAGTTGACAGGTAGTTCCAACCAGAAGGCAGAATTTGGTGAGAATAAATACTTTCCTTGTTAAACATCGGATTAAAGGGAGGCAGTTGTTTATAGCATGATAGATCTTGGCAAAACGAATCATTTACTGTTGCATTGCAAAAGCCAGCATCTGGGGTGAAAGTTGCTCTTAGTAAGCAATGTAATTATTGTAACATTTTTCTACCTTTACTCTGACGCGAACTGAAGGCCATTTCCTTATCTCTATTTTTCAGGGATGGGGGACTGAAAAGAAAAAAAGTCAAAGAGTCTTTCAAGGAAGAGCAGCAGAAAAAATATTGCCAGCTAGTAACAGAAAATGGGTTTATGGGAAATGGAAATGTTTACTAAATGTTATTTATTTTATCTCCTGTTTTTTTGACTGGACTTATCCTCATGGAAAATGGGCTTTTTTTATATTAAATTCTTTCCTGCTGTCCCTGTCAGATATTTTGTGTATGACACAGCAGAGAAGCCATGAACAAATAGTATTTTGTTTTAAATAAGGATATTAGTTTAAAAATAGGAATGTTTATAAGATTCTTGTGAAATTCTCTTCAATGATGAATGTGAAGAATCTGCAGTAAAATTACCTAGGTTCATTAAAACACATTTTTTTAAAGAAATCTTTGAGTTACTTAGAGACTTAACAGTTAGCTTCTTAACTACTAATAAAACATATATCTTTGCAACCTGTATCAGCACCTTGTTTAGCTGTTTTCCTGTGAGCTGCAGGCACTGTGTTGTTGTAGAGATACGCTTGCCCTGAGAGAAGACAAGGAACAGTTCACCATAGTGTTTTCAGAATTTCAAGATGCAGATGAAGTGTTGGATGTCAGAAGGGGAAAAAAGCACTTGCTGACTTTACTCTCCATGTCACAAGACAAGTGATTGCAAGGTAGGATGTTTCCCACTGTGCCATTGACCAACAGCAGCACAACAGCCATGGCAAAGTGTTCCAGGTGCCTGCTTGTGTGACATGAGGATCAGTTGGTGAAAGCCAAGGACAGTGGTGTGGAAAAATATATTTTAAAATTTATATTTTGTCTTCTGATTTTCCTATATCCCTTTCTGTGTCTGTCTGCATTGCACAGATTAAAGAAAACCTATGTCATGGCTTCCACTATGTTCTGTTGTAATTATTGCTTCTTAAATCTTAAATGATACTACTTAAATCTCTTCAGTGTGCCAGAGTTTAAAACAGAAAGTATTTTTTTTCTGCATGGCAGATGTCTTTAAGGCACTAACAGAGATTGTAGTTCTATGTAAAGGGCTAAAATGAGTATGGGCCTATGACTTCTGCTTTACCATGTCTCTTCATTTTGCTCGGAGTTGAAAGGGAAGACAGAATAGGCAAAAAGAAAGGGTAGAGAGGGAAAGAGATGGCGAGATCAGAGTTGTTGGAACACGAATTTTCTCATTTGGACTGTGTTTTTAGAAGACAATAGGAGATTATGTCCCTCTCTACCTGCCATGCAATGCTTCCCTAGCTCACTAAAAGGATAAGAGCTGTTGGATATGTGATCCTTGTTACAGTTATAACTCATCTTGCATGTTTGAATCTGCAAGTATCACACATCACTTGTTCAGCTGTGAAAGGAGTGGGCACAGGTGTGTGTGTGTGTCTGTTTTCTCTGCCATCTTTTGGCTATCTTGATAAGAAAAAGCTAAATGCTTTGTCAAAGAGATTTTTTTATGCAGACAGTGACATTTAAAGCAAGCACTGAACCCAGCAACTTCTCAATGATAGCTGAGGTGTGAATGCCAGCCTGACTTCAAATGGACTTCAAACTTTCTTACCTTGCTTAGAAGAAGTATTTCTTGTTTCTATAGTTGCTTTTTAACCTACCCTACATCTCCCCCTCTCCTTTCCCTCGATACTCTATGCATATTCTGTATTCCACTTGCAGTTGTCAGCAGTGGCCTTTGGCAGACACTTTTAGCTGTAATTGTTTACTGCACTCAGAGTGCTAGCATTATGGAGGAGTTGGTTGTTTTCCAGAAGATCATAGCTAAGCATGTCCTCCTCCTCCAGCAGGAGGATGTGATGGCAGTAAAAAGATCATGTTCCCATGATAACTTGTGAGTGGGAAGTTGGGAAACTGCAACTTATTTCTTATGTAATTTTTTTTTTCAGTGGGTCAAGTACTCAAAAAATGTCTTTCCTCAGCTATGCTTCCAACACTGGAGCTTGTAAAGAAGTCACTTGAAAGCAACTTTTAAGATGCTCTTGTTACTATTGCCTAAGTCTTCCTTGGGGGGAAGTAGAACTTGTGGTGACAGCATAAACCATCTTTACATTATATTATATGTGCAGAATGAAATGACTTGAGGGCCAGCTCTTATTTCTGGGTTTTAACCTCTGGAGTAAGAAGAGGTTATTTGGATATAATAACTTTTCATGTTTAAAGTATATTGTGCTGCTCTGCTAATAGTGTAAAGTAACTTGAAGCTTTTTAACTTTCCAGTGAGTTTACGTGTAATTGACTGTCATTGCCCTAATTTACCAGTTTTTTTGACAGCTTCTCTAAATTCCCTGGCCCTCCAAGAACATATATGCGTGTTATCAAACATCAGAGGGGACCAGAAGTTTTGAGGTGTGACTTTGTTTTCTATAATTCGTTTGGCAACGCTGTGTAAGGATGCCTAAATGCCTGCTGCTTGTTAAGACAATGCCTAGAGAAATCTTACTTACATCAAGAGAAATGTTACAGATGATTAGAAGACATAGCGATAAGCAACTTCATGACCTTTTGGACTCTGAGAATTAAGTCAGACTTTGGTAAAACCACTCATAATCTTTTAATGCATTTGCACGTAAAGACTGACTGCTGTAACTACAGAGTTCTTAATCCTCTGTTGTCCAAATGTCTCTTCTACAGCTGTGTTATCCTTAGGAACATCTGCAGTGCTCTTCTCTCTGATTTCAGCTGACCTGCTGATTCCCCTCTCCTTCCTAACTACCTGATCAAGTCCTTTTTGCAACTGCTTTGAGGGACTCCCTGTATGTATTATAAGAAATGTGCATTAAAAGTAATGTGAATAGTGCCATCTAGTTGGCACTAAAAGACTCTTTTCTGTACATCCTTCTTAACATTTCATTATAATGCAGAGAGGTTTGTTTCATTTGTACTTAGAAATTCAATGTAATTGAAGGCATTGTAATAGAGAAGATGTTCTGGTCTTGTTTCTGCCACCCATTTATTGGACCAGCAGTGAAAAAAGCAGGGCAGCCTGTGCAGCTTTCCAGGGCTGTGTTGTTTGAGGCCTGATTTCAAGTGAAGTTGACCAGTGAAACTTAGGTCACAGATTCATCACAGACTGAGTGTTATACTCTAAGGATGATGTGCTTTTGGAAATGCTTGTAGTGAAAAACCCATTTGTTTGTGTGCTTTCAAACATGTTCCCCAGCTTTGAAACAGATTACAGAGATGACCTGTGGGGGTTTCTTAGGATCATCTGCTTTTGAAGAAGTACTCTCAGGAACTAGTATAGGGACAGAGGCCTTCTTGGCTCTTTGCTTTTTATTGTTATCTCCAGGACCTTAGCTTTGTATCCATTTCTCCTCCCCCCTTCTCCTTCTTGATTATCTATTCTATTTAATGATGGCTTCTCAATTAGTGTACCAGACTCCTTTGTGAGAAGGGTTAATTCTGATCAATTGTCATCAAGGCTAGCATTCAGTACATCCAATCAATGCTGTTCTATATAATGGCTGTGCTATTGACTGATTTCTAATTTTACAGTATGTTGGAGCCCTGTTGAACTCTTTTAATATGATAATTGCTTTACTAATCAGTAGTCATGATTTGTGTGCAATTGAGGATTATTGACATCAACTGATCCCTTGGCATTTGTATTTGGCTGTAAGGAAGATGCATGTGGCAGAACACTTTATGTACCAATAGATATTAAATAGAATAATACTGAGGAAAATGCTACATGCATGTATACCAGCTTTTTTACAAAACTTAGGTCATTTTTTAAAATATAGGAATCGTTATTAAATACTACTTTCTAACATCATATAGGCAGCTGTTAAACAACGTGTTCTGTAAGAACATTCATTAGTCTGTTTTAAATACTAGCTACTAATCTACATGTTAAATACTGCCTATTGATTATATAACATGTATTTTAAATGTGCATCATATATGGCTAGAGTCAGTCTCCTTTACCCATACAGTGTATAACTTTACAAGAGATTTAAGTATGCACACACATTTGATAAAACTGTGTATTCTGTTTCAAGTAACCATTCAATTTGTCAGCTTTTTTGTCATTTTATTCCATGAAATGCACCTACAGTTGATTAGAAAACTATATAGATAGATAGATAACGTATATATCATAAATTCATTAAAGTTCTCTAAAACATCCACTGTGCCATTAATGAAATGTTCGATTTAAGCTGAAGCTGACTTCTATCCAGCTGCTCTTGCTGTGGGACCAGGAGGCGGCAGCACCGCACGCATCTTTCATGCGGCAGGGAGGCACAGACCCGTATTCGTGTGTCATCTGGGAAGCACCAACAGTAATAGCACTTACGTAAAAAGATGAAAGGGGAAGTTAATTGACTGGGTAGCAGCACGTTTTGTCCTTCCTTACAGTACTAGCATGAACAGAGAAGAACAGCAGAATTTCAAGTTGTAATTTTACTTCATTAGGAACTGAGGTCATTAAAGAGATAGCAAAGTGCTTGGAGCTGTGTGCACACATACGTGCATTTGAAAAAGAAGCAGGGAAAAAAGTCAGGCTGCCAGGCCTCAGGTCATGGTGGCCAGTGGTGGGAGGTGCCATCCTTACAGTGTGTTCCTTTGGTTCATGCTGCAGATTCTATTGTCTCTGCAGGCTTGTGTTTTTTAGCATTTTCACTGTGTGCAGGTGCTGTGTGCATCTCCTCTTGTGCTTGATGCATAGAACCACACCAACACCCACAGAATTCCTCCCATGTTAACACGGTGGTAACATTAGCTCAGCACTTGTCAGCTGAGCACAGATCCTGATCAAGTCACAAAAGGAAGACCAATGCTCAGTTGCCTTCTGATTCTTCTTTATTGATGAAGAGCTAAGCTTTAAGTGTGTGCTTAGGTGTTTTTGTTGTATGAAGCGCAGGAACAAGCACCAAGACATTGGTGAAAAATGCTTAATGTATTGTTTGCTAGAGAGGTACTAAAAATGGTTTCAGTACAGTTTCAGCTGTAACATCCCAGGAGACGGAATCATACATGTGAGGATAAATGCTCCAACCTTAATGCTTTGTGTGCATTGAGATGAAAAATGCTGGACGCTGAACATCTGTGGAAGTCTGCCTGTCACTTATTCATGTCATCACTGCAAACTGGAGGAAATCTCTCCTTTTTTTTTTTTTTTTAAAGCTGGCGTTAAAGATTCAGGTTCTACCTCACCATAGGCTCTCTTGGTTGTGTGAGACACATGTGCAAAGCTGACAGCTAAGTAATAGAGGAGCTATGTGAAGCCCAGGCGTTTTGGAAAGAGAGCCAGGTGGAATGCCAAAGGGTAACCAAAGAGAGTCTGTGCCATCTGTGGGCGAGCAGCTGAACTGCCCTACATGCCCCTTTTTTGTGACCTGTGCTGTAAACAAGGCTGGTTTGGGATTGTTAACCTTTGCATAAAGAGAAGCTGAAAAATATTTCTGGGTTTTAGGTTTTGAAGTGGGTCTGAGTTTAACTTAGTGTCGCTTACTAGATTGGGAATTGTGGTAAGACAGGAGTTTGACTCTGGAGCCCTGTGACAGGTGCAACTGGGATAGGAGCTGTTTGTGCCAAGGATGATATAACAATTTTCTCAAAATAGAACTCCACAAGTGGAAAGAAAGAGTGTGGCTTTGGGCCTACCTTGTAATGGTTGTGAGGAAAAAGGCTGCAGTACTTGCTTCTGGGAAGGGCCACTTGACTGGCAGTCCTGGGCAGAAATGGGTGCTTTTCTTTGACTGCAGATGTCTTTGCTGCAATCCATTCCACACTGGCTATTTCAGCAAGAATCAGCTTTGTTTCTGCTAGCTTCTGTTAACGCTATTCTTTGGGTATCCACATTTACCCATACTTTATAACAAAAAGCTACATTTAGGATTTTTGAAGGTTTATTATTGTAACTGTCACTGAACTCCTAGCAACTATAATCTCTAATTTATGGAATTTGAATTGATTGAGGTGGGATACACCTCAGTGCTGAGCTGATGAAGTGCACAGTGCTCCTGCGCCTCAATCCTTCCTGGAGCCTGCACGCGATTCACTGCAGCTCTGTGAATGCGGGCTGCTAGGCATAAAAGCTATGTGAAAGCAAGGCTACCTCTAAAGCTTATCTGTAGTTTCTGTGCAACAAGGATTAGAAGTTCACAGCAGCATGGCAGAGGATAAAATTCCAGGTAGGTTCCAGGATATAAACTGAAGCTGAAACTATCTGACTCCTCTGTGTATACAGCATATCAATTTTTACAGTGAGTTATAGCAAATAGAGTGGTGGAAAGAAAGCGTGACCTGCCTGCAGTCATAATGAAAGAGAACAGAATTCCCAAGTTTGGCTACCTGCCATTGCAGAATAGCAGAATGGCAGGAGATAGAAGGTAGCATGGATAAGTACCATGTTTATTTCCAATAGAATTCAGGAACTTACCGTTTGATATTCTGAAAGCTGCCGGCTTTGGTGACAGGAGACAAACAAAAAGATACTTCTTACTAGGTCTGATCCACCAGCAGCCAATAATATTTGCAATAACTTAGCAGTGCTGAAGGAGATGATGCTGTCCAGACACTTCCGTAGAATTTCCATGATCCTGGAAACCAAGTTTGTAGTTACACTCCACAGAGCCAAACTCTACAGGAACTGGTAATCAAGTAGGATAAAGTAAGTACAGCCAAAAAAAAAATTAAAAGGCTCTGCAGTTTTTGGATTCATTTGGAGCATCTGATTTAGATAAACTTGGAGCATTTAATTTCATCTTCTGCACTTCTTTGCATGTATTGCACTTCATGAAATAAACTGAAGTATATGGGTATATGAAAAAGTTTTCTTCTGAGTTTAACAATGCTGATATATTTTCACAGGATTTTTCTTTCTCGTGGTTTGCACTTTCTCCTGGATGATCTTATATTAGAAATTATGGCTGTGTGTAGTCTTTGCACATAAAATAGGCCTTCAGAAAAGGAAACCATGGAAAATCATTAACACGAGTGCCACTCTCTAAGCCATTGATGGAATGATGCTGCCATATCCATGTTAAAGTATGGTCCCACTGCCTGAAAGAAAAAAGGCTCACTGGTTGGAGTGGAGCAGTAGAACTGCGTGTTCTCATGAGGGACAGAGTAGACAACAAAATGAAATGATGGAATTAATTTTAAACTAATTTATCAGTAGATAAATGATCAGTGGTTTATAACAGCTGTATCTTTTTTTTAACAAGGCAAAGGCCACTTGGCAAGGATGGTAATTTATTTCTGCTTTAAGTAAGTCAACAGTTTTTGCAGGAAGCAGCTAGCTGTCCTTTGATGGGAATGCAAGATAAATTGAAAGAAAGCACTTGAACACATTCACTCCAGGAGTTGGCAGCTTTGTCACTAAGAGGAGGATGTCAGACTACCAGACACATTTCCTCCACACTCTGCCAGGCAGAGAAGAAGGTTCATCGAGCAGCTCACCATGAAAATTGATTTTTTTATACAATTTAATGTTAATATAATTGTGAAATATTCATTTAAGGGTACAGTGGAAACCTGGATGCAGTAGGTTCTGTTTACTTGTTCAGCCTTGCCTCAGTTTGGGCACCTGAAACTGGTGCCCATTTGTATTTGTTTTCAGCAGTATTTTTTTCCCCCATTATTTTTATGTGACAGCAGGAATCAAAATAGTGATCTTCCCATGCTGTAAGAAAAATAGTGGAGGCTGGTTGTTCCCTACTGTTTGTTCATGGAGTCTGCAGGTGTCTGGCTACGTCCAGTGCCATCCAGAACAGGGGTAGGTAAAACAGTCATGCTGTTAAAGTAGAAAAGTGGCACTTTAATTCCTCATAATGAATGTTAGAAGAAGAGGCCTCCAGAATTTTCCTCTGATGTTTCAGGGATGTGGATGGATTTCAGCCCTCTAAGTCCGGAATTTGGTGTGGTACCAAATTAGACATACACTATACTGAGTTCAACCTCTTTGTTTTACTACAACACTGGCTAACAAGCACACAGGCTCGATCAAAATCATCCATTATTTTCAATTTTCAAGGTCCTGTCGACTAATAATAATAAAAGAAACCCTCACATTGCACAAGTATGTCTATACTATTATCCTGAGGAGCTAGACAGATTACACTGTTGCTACTTTTCTCCAGCTGTCCTTAGGATAGAGATTTCAGCTCCCTGAATAAACAAACAAACCATCTCCCTTGGCCTTCTCCATTTGCATCTGCAATGAAAATTCATGGGTAAAGAATAAAGGTCTTGTTTGGCTTCTTGATGGTGAAAAAATAGAATGCAAATTTTAAACGTAGCTCTAAGGGGTATATATTGTGAAATAGCACCCGGTTGTTTTTGATCCAAGCTGCTTTCTGGCTTTGAGCACAAGCAACTCATCTGGTTCCAGGTGATACAGGTATGGTAAAGAACATATGTATTCTTAGGATAATCATTATTTCTTTCAAATTTATTTTGATAGCTGATGCTAGGATAATTGCAAATGTTAGAAGAGGAATGTTGCATGACGGCAGAAATATGTCTAGTTCAGGATATACCTTCTCTTTTTCCTTGGAACTAAGAAACAATCAATGCAAAATGGGAACAACAATGTTATTTTCCAGGGATTCCTCTTTTGCTTCCCAGGGAGTGGTGAATAATTGACTAATGCTTGTCCCAGAGACCTTGTAAAAAGGTATTTTGAGGTATTTCAGTTACAGGAAATTACTTCTGTGTATAGTCTTCATGCATTACTACAGTGATGACAAAAGTATGACAACTTTGTTTTGTTTTTACACTTGTTTTATATTTATATTTTTTAAGAAATTATTGTGAAGAGCTCAGTTTTGGTATATTTTTTGTTGAAAATAATAAAGGGAGGTCCCTGTGACTTGGTAGAAGGAATACCTGAGGCATTGCCACTGGGTTACATTTTGGGACACTGGGGAATGTTTGGAGGAAATCTGTTTCATAAGAAAAATTAATAATGTATGTAATTGATGGTGGCCAATGTATACCTTGGAAGATCAAGGAATGAACTTTTAATGATAATACTATTTTACAACTAATGTTATTTTATAGAAGGGATGGAAAATGGGACGTGGTACCATATGTGGATATATTTTTCACATTGAGGAATGATTATAAAAGTCAGAAGGAATGCAGATTGTTGATAAAGGATGCAAATGTTTCAACGCTGGAATGGCATAGAGTAAAATTGCCAAAGCAATGTTCTTCAGGTGCAGTAGTGGTAAAAAGTGTTGGAAATTTAAGAAGATGTCAGAGGAGGAAGAGGATGTGGAATTATTTGTGGCCTCTGAAAGTATAAATGAGGCAGGGGGGAGGATGTGAGCAGTCAAATAGACAGTGAAGGAGAGGTTGATCATTTCAGTACAATAGCAAGGATAACTTGCAGAGGAGGAGGAGGGAGTGATGTAATACAGGCTCCCTTAAGGCAAAGTGGTTGGAATGGAAGGCATTTCTGTATTCCTTGAAGTCCCCTTCTCTACACAGGACTTAAAGATTTGGAAGGAAAGGGCAGGAGAATACAGAGAGGACCCAGAAAATGTGGGAAAATGGTTAGAAACTATAATTGAGAATCATTATCCCAATTGGCAGGATCTGCAGGTAATTTTGGGCGTTTCATCCTCGTATGAGGAACAGAGAATAGCCTTAGCTAAAGCTAAAGGGAAAGCTGAGAAAATTCAAGCTCAAGATACCCAAGCAGGAAGTTCAGATGATCATTTTCCATCCATCAGTCTTGGATGAGACCTTAAGAATCAAGCACAGAGGTGTTTAATAACTGAATATCAAAGGTTAATTATATTTGGAGTAAAGAATGTAATACCAAAACTAAGGAATGTTTCTAAGCTGTGCCAGGTGGTGCAAGGCAAAGATGAAACTCTGTCTGCATTTTATGAAAGATTATGCTAAACAACTAGGAAATGGGTAGATCTGAATGATCTTGAAAAAGAATATTAGAAAGAAATTGCAAAAGCAGAGGAAAGGGATGCCAGATCTATTGACAGATTGTTGGATGCTGCATGGGGGTGCATAATAACAGGGGTGAAATGGAGGAAAAAGATGCAGAAAAAAGAGCAGGTGAGTTCCAATAAAGGGCAAGCTCTGGCTACAGCAACAGCTCGGTGAAGCAGGCAGATCAGCCCAAACAGGTTATCAAACTAGGCATGGAGAGCAGGACGGAGGTCTCCCTTTCAGCGTGGGAGGGCTCCTCTAGAAAAAGATCAGCGAGCCCTTTGTAGACAGAAGGGGCTTCGGACAAGAGAACGCCCACTGAACCCAAACGGGAGAAGTCCTCCCCAGATGAAAGAGTGTGACAGAGCGCTGAACAGCGCGGTTGCAGATTTTCCAGCTCTGGCGCTATTCGGAACCCGCCTGGACACTTTCCTGCGCGAGCTGCTGCAGGGCTCTGCTCAGCAGGGGTTGGGCTGGGGGATCTCCGGAGGTCCGTTCCAACCCCTGTGCTCCTGTGACCCCACGCCCTCCCGCCTCCGGCCGCCACGGAACCGACGCTCCCGCGCGTTCCCTCTCCGCGCGCCCCCTGCAGACAAAGCGCCTAAATAACAGGAACGCCGGGCTCGTCCCGCACCTTTCCAGCGGCGCGCCGAGGCGGCAGCGAGATGCCCGTGCCGGGCGGAGGGGCGGGCCGTGGGGCGGGCCGCAGGGCCTTAGGGCGGCGGCGCCCGCGCTCGCGGGGATAGTGGCGGTGCCGGAGGTGCCGGCGTGCGCTCGCCGCCATGGAGGAGCTGGGCTCGCTGGCGGTGTCGCTGGGCACGGCGTGGCTCTCGCTGGTGTTCGCCCTCATCGTGCTGCCCTCGGCGCTGGGTGTCTCGCTGGGCATCTCCGAGGCCTACATGTGGGTGCTGGTGAAGACGCTGGAGGTAGGCGGCCCGCACGCCCTTCTGTGCCCCGGGGCCGCGCTGCGCGGGCGGGGGGCCGCCGTGGCGGGCAGGGTACGGCCTGTGCCTGTGCCGGGGTGCCGCCTCGTTTCGTCCCGTTCTTCAGCGATAGCTCTCGGGTGTGTCTGCCATGGATATGTTTTAAGGCTTTTGGTGCGAGTGAGCGTGCTTGAAGTGCTTTCTGGGGGCCCGAGACAGATTTATTCTGGTGTGGGGTGAAGAGAAGCCATTCCCAAGCTGGGGGAGGGTTCTGAGGTGAGGAGCCGGCCGCGTTGGGCTCTGCTTCGTTTCCTGAGCAGACGGACTCGTCCTGCTTAGATGGAACAAGGTGAACTTGAGATGTGGATCGTTCTCTTCTACAGAATGCGTGCATGCAGGGAACATCTCGCTGCTGGCCTGTTGTTGAGAAGTGTCTCCTTGGCTCACAGATTTGCCTTGCTTAGCAGCTTGACACAGAGCCAGTTCCAGGTAGCGCCTACAGGAGCCCCTGGAGATAGGTATTGTCACATCTGACTTTTCTGTGCCAAAAATAACATTAGCAGAGGCACGTGGTGAATAGATAGCTGTTAGCCTTGTGCAGCTGTGCTGCCTGAAACTTCCTTGGCTGTTGTATTCAGTCTGTGGGCCTCCTGCTGAGTTGTGGCTGTGTTGAGTCATAGGATGCTGCAGTCTCGGACAAGTGAGACTCCTTGCAGTAGCTCTCTTGACAGCTTTCTCTTCAGTTCCAGCCTCGGATCTCCCAGCCAATCCCTCATTTTTGCCAGGATGGTGGTGGAATCTTGGGCCTGTAGAGCACTTTGCACGTCTACAGCCTCTGTCGTCTCTTTGGGCTGGATTGAAGGAGCTATTGCTGTTTATAGGGTTACTCTGCGTATGGTCCTCTCTTGGCTCAGTGAAAGGGCATGGCGACTGTGATGCTGAATTTCTGCATAGTTTGTATTGTCAGGTAATGTATGTGCTTTATTAGAGCTAATCTGTTACAAGGGGCCAGCTCCGCCATCCTGGGCACTGGAGTCTGGGTACCAAGTAACAGGAGAGTCTGAATTGTGCATTGTGTCTGCTAATCCACAGTCATGTGTAATGTGGCAGACAAACGTGAGCTTGTGGTATGGAGCAAGATGAGAATGGTGCTGGGCTTGAGATAGTATTTTTGTCTGCTCATAGAAGTAGATCTGTTTACACTTGATTCAGAAGGGGCGATGCTTATTTCCCATGCTGTAGGCATGGCCTGAGAAAAGGGAGTGTAGAAGCTCCTTTAAAGAACAAAAGTGTTCTTGTGCTCTGGTGTTCTGACGCTACTGACAAGGGAGATCAGTTGGTGCACAATGACTGTTTCTCCATGCTGAGCTGTCTTAGGAAGGAGCATTATTCTAAGCATGTACAGACAGCAGTGTTGAGGATGTACTTCTGTTGGGCTGCATTGACTAAACCCAGAGTACTGTACTAGGGATGACCAGCTTTATATAGAGTACATAAATATGTATTTGTTTCTCTATGTGAGAAGGTGAAAATAGCGGAAGACTATGACAAGCTATCCTTATATTGGAGGAGTGCTGGTTGCCTACTTATTATCAGAAAATCTTCTTCCCCTGCTGTATTTTTTACAGAATATTAACTTGCTTCTTAATTGCTCTTCCAAATTGAGAGGAAACTTCTTCTGCCTGTGGCTTCCTTTCCAGTGTGATAAGAACAATCTCTGGCACAGTGTTAGCATGTGCATGTTGTTCAAATGTTGGATAATTGCTACAAAAGCTTCTTTGGCAGCTGCTGACTTCTATGAAGAATACTTTAGACTAATGCTGCTGTGCTGTGTTGGTACCTGTGGAATCACTCACCACTGAAATCTTGTTGAAACAGAAATCTTGTTTCAACAGAATTGTTGAAATGACAGAGACTACCTCCTGTGATCTGTCACAGTGTGACAGCTCTCCTTGTTGGTTTTAAACACTCCCAGGTTGCTTCCAGTTTTTAATTTTGTGCATCTTTCTTTCCTGGTCTCAATCATATGCTCCCCTCCATCAAAGTTTTCCATCTTTGGGGCTTTTGACTAGCAGAGAAAGCATTTTTTGGCTTGCTTTTTTTTCCTCCCAGAGCGTGATAATGCACAGCAGATACTTGGAGTAGTAGGTGTGTTAACGTTGTGTAACTGTGGCCCCTGGTAACAGAAGCAATTTCTAATAGCTTATTATGCTGTCAGGCAGGGAATGCACTTTCACTGAGCAAGTGTGTTGCAGTATTTAGTAGCTATGAAGTGAAGGTGCTTGCTTTAGAGATCACTTGGACTTAAAGTTGAGAATATACTTTGGGGCAACAAGGATGTCTTGGTGCCATTGGTCAAACAGTAGGTTCTTGCCACGTGGAATGGGATGTGTTCCTTCCCCCATTCTCTAGGTATCAGCTTTGCTCCCTAAACCACCATTGGGATTAGGAACTATGGCATGTGGTGCTAAGTGTAAGGATGAGGAAAGAAAAGGTGAAATACATAGCCTATAAATCTGTGAATCACTGTGGGATTTCTGCTGATTCACGTTGAATTCGTTGGCTTCTTTAAGCAAGCTTTGCTGACTAGTGGTGCCTAACAGTGTTGTTGAAGGTCTTTGTATCTCTGTAGTTGGTGTTTGTGAGTTGTTGGGTGGAGAACTCTGAGTTAAGAGGATGGCTCTGAAGGGGCAGAAGTTAATGGAAAGCAGCTCTTGAAGATGAGTCTGATGGGGATGGTGCACTCTTGCTGACAGGCCAGAAATAAGCTTTTGAAAAAGTGTTTTAGCACATCTACTACATAATCTTAAGTTCCTTGGCTGTGTTAATTAAGTTCTTCAGCTGCCCCCAGTCCTGTGCAGGTTCTTATGGGTGGTTTCAACAGATTTAATAATGAAGGCTACTTGTATGCAGGTCAGGTTACTAGAGCTGGGGTTACCCTCCTCAGGGGTTGCATCAATAATTAATTCAACATCTTCCTGGTCAACAGCACTGACCTGAAATGCTCCCATCTTCACAGCAAATGAGCACCGGTGTTTCTGATGCTGTTGATTAGTAAATGCTGTTCACAAAGAGCAGCAGCTCTAGGCACATCTTGCCTTCAAGTTATAATGCATGGAGCTGGCATAAAAGAAGCTAGTTAGCATTTCTGTTGCAGATCCCCCTTCTTCTTTCCTGTAAAGCTGGAACAAGTTGTCCTGTTTGGAGGCAATGACAAAGACATCTCACGAGGGTGAGGAAAAGATAACATGGATAACCAGAGAACCCTTCACTCCCCCTCTGAAATGATTGCTCCTTTTTTTGCATTGCTGTTTTCATTTACACTGATTTCCCTGCCTCCCACTGTGTGGGAGGTGCTCTGAAATCTCTGTTGCTGTTGAGGTTTGGAAGGTCTCCAGAAAGGAGTGATCATCTAAACTAGCACGGCAGCTTTTGTGCTGAGCGTGACCTGCCAGCCTCGTTAAATAAAGCAGTGATTCCAACACCGTTATGACTTAAGATTTCAGTCTGCTTCAGTAGTTTGGTAATCTCTCTTTTCAATAATCAGTGAATATGGCTCCTAAATCAGAGATGGTATTTCAAGATGATAAACGAGGAGAAAAGCTCAATTTACTAGGGTAATAGGGGAAATCCACATTGTATTCTGAACTGACTTGATTGATTCTCACAAACGATCTTTTCTGTTTGCATTCATGAAACCATGTGTTGCATTTGACTTTTTACATAGCTATCTGCTTGTAAACGTGTTGCTTTGAAAATCTTTTGCAATTTTTTTTTTTTTTTTTTTGCATCTGAAGTCTAATTGGACTTTTCTTGAGTACAGCATAACCTGTCTCTTAACTATCTATATAGGCTGTTGGCTTGCTGCGTGTGGTGTATCCTTTTTCAGGGGTTGGAAACTTAAAAGCCTTTCCTATCAGGATGAGGTGGGGATGTTCTCAAGGAAAGGTTGGTAGGCTATTCTTATCTGGTGAGATGTAGCATGGTATCTTCAGACTGGTGTGTGTGACTAAAGCATGAAAGCTACTTAGCTCTGAGCAGCGCAAATAGCAACATTACCGAGTTGGATCTGTGGTGTTTGCATATTTTGTCACTGTGCTGATTTCTAGCTTTACATACTAGTTCAATGAGTAGCACAAGATGCACAACTTACTTTTAGTGTTGAAGAATCTGGTGTTTTATGCTTCTTCCCAAAATCTGCTCTGGTGTCCCTGGAGAAGGCTTAGATCTGCACCAGGTGCCTCAGGCTGTCTGCTCAGCACCTGCACTCATGTCAGTGTTACTGCAGTACATCCATGAAACCTGCCACGTGGCTTTTTGGTCATCTGCTTAAGAAAACTGAGCCTGTACTTGACTTTCAGGATACTTTTTGATCTACAGTACGCAGCCATGGTATTTTCCTCTTTGTGAGATGAATCAGATTACGTAATGAAAGCTCTATGTGGTGTGAAGCTGAGCATTAGGGTAGGAAGCAGCTGAAGTTGTTGTGGATGGTGCAGATCACTAGCTGGCAAGGAGGAAGGAAAATGACTCACGTAGCTGCATGAGGTGCTTCTTGTTTTCCAAGTTGGATATAAACAAGCTTCTCATTTGATCAAAGTTAAAGGTGCTGTCAAAGCCAGCAATTTATTTCAAGTGCCTAAGGATAAGTGGCATGATTACATTAAGTAAACTTGAGTTAGAATCAAGTCTCGCTGCTTGGCACGTGTCTGGTCTTTGGAAGTTTGACAGACATGGGAGAAAGAGCTAATAGGATTTTAAACCAGTTTGCAGTAGCAGCTGGTAGAGCTGTGCCCTGATAAGTGCCCAAAGTCTCAGGTGTGAGAAAGGAACAAGAAGGGAAGATGGCCTGATGTGGTGTCCGGATGGCTTTCTAAAGTGTGCCTTGGTCTCCTGGGAGAGCTGGCAGCAAAAATGAAGGTGCCTCAGCTCTCCCCTGCTGGAGTGCAAGGCAGCAGTCCCTGGAAATGCTCTGTGCAACGTCTGTAATGGTGCTGGGCTGTGGCCCTGTGCCCATCTGCTGGCAAAGCAAAGGACAAAAAGAACAGTCCTCTCTGATCTTTTCCTTTTCCCCTCAAGTTCTCTTTTGGGGGTTCTGCAGCTTGCCTAAGTGAGATGAAGAGGTAGACTGTCAGACTGAGTGGGAAGCACAAATGTATTCTGAGAAAGTGGTAGAAGGTTGGTTAGTGGAATTACGTGAGCCTGTGGTCTCTATGTGCTTTGGGGAAAAGTCCACTACTTGCTTTGCTAAGTGAAGTGTCAGAGGAAATTGCTATATATTGGCGTATTGCAAATTTCAGAGTATTGCACAACCATGTCTCAATAGCCTGCACCATCAAATTGTTGTTCCTTTGTGCTTGGCTAGGCTGAAACTTTCTTTGGATGTGAGCTGAGTTTGTAACCATAGGATTTCTGTAATGAGAATAATCTGAAGAGAGTTGCATATTTTTTCTGAGTTCCAGAGAAGCTCTTTTCTCTGGTTGTGCAAAGCAAAAGTGGGCCAGCACAAGGTTTTGAAGACTTACTTGAGGAGGACTTGATATAGTGAGATGGGATATAGGAAGCAGTTCTGTCAGTGCTGGTCGTGAGAGGTTATGTGCTGGAGGTAATGCCTTCAGGATGGACCCGAATCCCCAGTGCCCCATGGCTCTGTTGAATGGAAAAGGAGAAAACAGCATGGTTTAGCTTTGGGCTGAATCAAGCGCATCACCAAGATGATGTCTGATGACTTTCATCTGTTTCACCTTGCTTTGAGACCTTTCTGTATAGATTAACACAGCCTGTTTCTGTGCTGTGAACCAATATGACTTTGCTGCTGGAGCTGTGAAGGTCTGAACAGCAGAATATCCATATTTTTCCATAGGAGCTGCTGGATCAGTGTATTTTGGAAGCATTTACTGTAATAACTTTTCTATAAATAAGGTAAGGTCTCATGGGGAAGGAACTAAAACAGTTACCTTCAGAATGAGCTGCTAAGCCAGTCCTCTCCAGCTGGACTTTCCATCCGATTGCAAAGTAGCTTTGTGGAGGAGTGGACCCAGGGCAGAAGGTCTGCTTCAGGGTGAAGGGCAAGCTCCAAGGCAGCCAAAGGCTTGCCGTGGTCAACCTGATAAAAATGAAACCTGATGTAGGCAGAAGGGTTGTTGCGTGGTGCTGTGCAGAACTGACAGAACTGAAGGTCAAGAAAGCTCAAGAATAATGTAAACTAGCTGCAAGCGAGATGTTTCATGATGCCAGGGAGCTTCTACCTCACATGTTTGTGGGTAGGTGGAGGTGCTGAGAAGCATCAGTGTGCTTCCTGTGGCCAGGGGAGCAGGGGTTGCTTCCTTCCATCTTTCAGTCTTCTTTTCCCAAATCATATAGTAAAAAACAATGATTAACCCTGGTGAGCTGGCTTGTTCAGGCCGCGGTTAGACTTAATCCACCGAGGACCTTATTTTTGTAGTTTGATTTTTTTGTAGTGAAATAGCATTGGTAGAATGTTGCATTGTGCTACGTGCTCATCAGGCTGTTGTGCTGCTCAGCTCCAGGAGCTGCCTAGTGACGGAGGCTTGTGGTGGCTCTGTGCCTGCAATGACACAGGCTCTGTGTTGCTTCTCTGAAGACTGACAAGCAGAGTCAGAAAGTGCTGACTGTACCTGCATGGTTTTTGTTATTAGGCATATTCACCAGTGCTCTCTGTGGGTGTAGTGTACTGAGGGGTAGTATATACACGGTTTTAGGAGTACCAATGATGATTATCTGATGAAGAGACTAAAAATTACAGTGTTGCTTTGCAGGAGACTTGTTTCTTAAGTGATTACTACATTTGGAAAATTAATGTGTTCTTTCTTTTCAACAGTGGGCCACTATACGGATTGAAAAAGGTGTCAAAAAGCCACAGCCACAGATGCTGAAGATTCCTGCTGCTAATGGTAAGAACTTGGAGTAAGATCATATTGTTAAGAATAACATGCTGGAGTAGGCAGACCGAGCCCTTTTCAAATGAGATGTGCGAGTTCAAGAAAGAGAAATAGAGGAGGAGTGGAATGGCCATCTACTTACTGTATGTCTAATTATTTTGCAATACTACTGGCACATTCACTGTTCCTGCAGAGGGGAAACATGAGTTGCAATATGAACTTGCTTTTGTCTTGAAAGCTGCGTTTAGATTACAGCCTGCAAGGCTGCTTGCCAACTCTCTATCTTGGAAGCATCAGGGTACATTTAGTAATATCTTAGTAGATCTGACTGCGTGGTGGACTGTGTTTCACAAGCTCTGTGCTACTGGAGGTCTCTGGATATGTATGCTGTTATACTTTTTCTCTTAGTGTGCTGGTGTTAAGAGTTGGTCCCTTGAGTTAGTTAATTCACTGTTGCCAGGTAAGTTTCTTGCTGCTTTCTCTTTTGTTAAGACAGCTGAATAGTTGCTTCATATTTCTTTCTTTAGCCCAATTTTGAAATAATGTGGTGGTGTTTAAAAAAGCAACTGTATCTTATCCCATACAGTGCATGTGTCATGGTAGCTTGTGCTGGGTCACTGTTGGCCACAAGAGGATGTGGGAGCTGTGTATGCAGTGAGTGTAGCTCTGGTCCTGGTACCAACTGCCTTTGTATCACCATGGATTTGCTGTTTTCTTGACAGCTTTAGTGACAGCTTTTTTTCTCTCTCTTTGTTTGGCAGCAGAGCTGGAAGCAGGAGTTTGCCCTTTTAGTATATAAGTGAATTATTATCTGATTTTACCAGTTAGCTGATGTGACTGTGGTGCAGTAATGGGGATGGAGCTGCTGAGCTGATTAATTGCGTTTCATCTGCAGAAGAGCATCTTTACCAATACTGGAAACACTGGTTATTGTGCTGTTTTCATGGCAGGCCTGAAACAGGCTTTGATGGTAGCAGACTCAGCTATCAGTTGGCAGCTGTAACAGTAAACTGGAGGTACTGCACAGCGGTTCTTAATGGATGTCAAAATTGGTCTTCTAACTTAATTTTTGTTGTGGCTGGAGAAAAACTTATTTTTTTCTGTGTCACATGTTTTGAAGATTATCTGGGGGGACAAAAAGGGAGGTAGTGGTTTCCTTTGTGTTTTGTCAGCTGCCTATGCTCCACGGAGTTGGTGAAACAGGGAGTGAGACATCCTTCATTTAAGGGTGATGAGTCCCATCATACCTTGAGTCACTGAGAGGGTGGAGGATGTGACTGTGCTGCTCTAATTGCAGAGTCATAGAGAGCACTGTCCTTCCTATAAGTTTGATTGTGGAGGCACATAGGTTGTTTTTTCCTAGAAAAGAGAGGAAAGCTTTAGAGAGAGAAGACTTAGGTAGTGCATGTTGCTCTGATCTACTTTTTTGAGAAGGTGTGGGAAGCATGGAGGATATCTGCGCTCTCGTACCAAACTGCTTTCTCTGCACTACTCTTGTAGGGACTGACTTATGATTAGGTTCCTGTATGTGGATGAGACTAGTTGGTGACCGGGGTGGGTGAAGGTCTATCAATCTTGTATTGGCATTTGCTGAGGTGTCAGAATGCAAGCAGTCAGAGGCCTGGTTACATTATGCAATATTTACTGAGGGAGGAGAAATTTCTGCTGATAGTGAATTGTTGCGTAGCTGATTAAAATGGGGTAAAGGTAGGGGTCTGCACGTGTGTATGCATGTGTGTGTTCAGTGCTGACTGACACGAGGGGAATGTGCAGTACCTCTCCTGTCTGTCCTAACAACCCAGTCCTCACTGGGAGATGGGTCAGGAAAGAAGGGAACATTGCACATACAAGGACTGATTTTTTCATGGCAGAGGAATGATGTGCTTACTCAAATACCTTAAATACTAATCTCACCCGGTCTTTTGATATAAAAGTGAGAAGGTGACTGTGCAGATACTGCCTTTCTCTCCTATACCAAAATCCTGTGTATTTCATACCTGTTAGCAAAAACAGCATTCAGCTCCCATGTGTGTGAAGAGTAGTCTCAAGGAACGTGTTGGCTGGTTCTTGCTATGTGAGGAATTATCTGGGACTGTTACCTTGTGTTTAATGTTTAGAGGGCAGCGTGCTTCTGTGCTGGTCCCATTATTAGAGCTCTTGGCCAAGCAGGTATTTAGAGATTAGATCTGGGTCTCAGAGCAGCAGGGGAACCAGCTCTGAGCTGTCAGTGTAAGTGCAGGCTGGTCAAAAAGCAATCCTCTTCAAGTTGACGGATATGAAAACACTGAAACACTGGTAAAGTCGCTTAAGTGACATCCACTAGACGACATATGCAAGTAATGTAAGTAGCAGATAGTGAGAAGTTTGAGGCTTGCATAATTAGCTAACCAGTGTGTGAGAACTGAGAGGCTCAGGGCTTGTGTTGTCATGCTGAGTAATGTAGTAGCTATGGTGTCTTGTTGAGAAAGATCTTTGCTGCACTCCTACCTAAAACTGTCTTTCAGCTACCTCTGGCAAAGCTCTGCCTATGGCCAAAGGATTAGATGCTGTTAAATACTATCTTCTGATAACCAGAAGGCTAAGTATATCACTTAAGTAGCATGTGCTTAGTTCTGATCATAATACCTTCAGGTCCTGCTTGTAGAACCTTGTCCCAAAGGCAGCCTGTGCACAGGGGTGTGACGATGACTGTGCAGCTGGTGAGGAAAGGTTACAGCTGTGGTGTGCCAGCAGTGTGTTCAGCTTGCACCTCATGTTGGTGTTCATGGTAATTTGAGCTGAGAAGCCTGAGCTGGGAAGGCAGCTGCTTGGCTGAGCTTTCTGGGTTCTGGGAAGCAGTACAAGGAATGTTGCTGGTGTACTGGGTGCTGGAGTCTCTCACTGGCCCATTTGTTGGCTGTGACTTGTCTTCCACCCCAGCAGCTGGGTGGAGCAAGAGGCTGGATTGTCTTGCCTGCAGTGTGGAGGTCAGGATCCTGACACTTCTAAGGGACTGTCTGAAAAAGAAGGAATGAGATGTGAAATAAAGCTCCGATCTGTGCTTAGAACACTACACAGAAGTAATACATGCTGCTGAATGTGGTGCTTTGTATAATTTAGATTCTGAAGGAAATGTGCATGTTTGGGTGTGCCATGTTTATTTCCTTATGTTTATAGGCTAGCAATAGGAAAATGTGCTGGTCTTGATGATATAGCAAGCTGTGGCTGCAAAATTCAGAGCTGAAGATGCTAGGAGTTTGTTGCAGTATGATGTCTTTATGGGTGTTTTTTTCAGTATTTACATTGGAGGCTTGTGAGGCATTTCTCAGAGATCTTTCTTGTGTTCACACACATGTGTGATACAGTGCAATACAAAGAATTCCCACATCAGTTGTAATGTGACTGTTGGATGTAATGTATATCTGGAGTTTTGCTGGCAAGGCTTTTTTGGGAATTTGTGGGAAGTTAAGCCCTGCAGGGTGTGTACTTGTGAGAAAGGCTCTTGTAATTTGAAACAGCTGGATGCTTCCTCCTTACCCGTGTGTCTCAACCTTGAGACACAGCAGTTACGCAGTTCATCAGAGGGCATCTGACAAAGTGGTTACCTGAACTTGGACCTCTGTCATGTAGCTGAGTGTCTGAGGGGATGGCTGTTCTGGTTAAATGCTATTCTAGATTTCTTCAGTCATCAATTACATGAGCCAGACCAGAAAGCAGCTACTTGATCTTTATACTTAGCTTACATGGCTTGTCTTTAAAAGCTCAAATAGCAAATGAATGCTATCAAACAGTGAGCTTTAAAAAAAAAAAATGTCCAGCTCTGACAGTAGATTTGTATCCTAAACCAAAGCAGAGTTCTAGAGGGTGACTGTTTAATTTATAGACTTGCTTCTTCATATGGTTACCTTTTTCTTCCTTAAGGTATCATTGAAAGAGATGAAACACCTATGGAGAAAGAAATTGCGGGTCTACATCGAATGGAGTTCCAATTCTCCGACATATTCTATTTCTGCAGAAAAGGGTTTGAGGCCATTGTGGAAGATGAAGTCACTCAAAGGTTTTCCTCTGAAGAGCTGGTTTCCTGGAATCTCCTCACAAGGACTAATGTCAACTTCCACTATGTCAGCCTGAGGCTTACTGTTGTGTGGGTCATTGGGGTTATAGTGCGGTACTGCTTCCTTCTGCCACTCCGGTAAGCTTGCGGCTGCAGAGAAGTTTTGTTGCTCAGGGATCACATAAACGTGCTCCTCCCCGTTTTTTTTCAGACCAAGTCAAAATTGGCATATATAGAAGATCAAGTGGCTTAAACACTCCTCTGAGTTGTTAAGAAGCTATTCAGTGCTTTTATCTTGTGCGCTGAGGACAGTACATGAGGTCTATTGATCATCCCTTCGTGGAATGCTTTCCCTAAGTTGCTTATATTGAAAATGTGAATGTAAACTGTGCAGTCCTCTAAATATCAGTGTTAAACTTGCACACTACAGGCATCAGGGCATCTGATGCTGCTGCCTTAGCTAGTTTGGCTTTGAGCATTGTGTATCAGGGAATTAACTGACTGCGTAAAGGATCTGCAGAATAATTGAACATTGGAGTTCCTTTTCTGTTTCAATGTGATACTGATATAAATCAAACTTACTTTTATGTCTGTTTCTCTGTAGCTTTACTCTCGCTGCCATTGGGATTACCTCAATGATCGTGGGGACAACAGTGGTAGGACAGTTGCCAAACAGCAGGTGAGTACTGTCTGTGTGAGGATCAAACTGCCAATTACGTAGCCTTGCATCAGTCCAAAGTACTCAAGATTGAGACTGGACAGGTTTTGCATATTGTGGACTACCGATAATCTGTTCTACCCACAAAAATGCTGCTTTGCTGAGGGTGGCTGCTTGTCATGTTTGGCACTGAGACTAGTGCTTTGATGGGGCCCTTCTTGCTGCCATAAGAAATACTCACCCAGAGTACTAAAAGAAGAAAAAAATAAGACTGTTTTTTAAATCCCAGCACAAGTGTCTTGCTTAGGTAAATGAGACCAAGGATATGACGTGCAACTTGGCATAGGTGTAGTAGTGAGTGAGTGGACCTGGGATTAGTCCTCCTACATCAGAGTTCCAGGAAAATCTTTTAGCCCTATGTTATGTTGAGTAGGGTAAAGAACTTATTCCATGTGTCTAGCTGCTTTCCAGCATGCCCCAGATGCCTGTGTCTTCTCTTTCAGTCTGAAAAACTATCTGAGTGAAGTGGTGCACCTCACATGCTCCCGGATCCTTGTGAGAGCTCTGTCTGGAACTATCCATTACCATAACAAGTGAGCAAGCTAATGTTACGGCTGTAAAACTGTGTTTATGTTCCTTTGTTTATGAGTATTCTATTAGGAACTGGGGGAGGTGTGTGGAGAGGAGGGCAGTTTGTTCCTGAACCACAGGTTTATGTCATGCTTGGTGATGATTTAACTGATGGCTTTACAGAGTTGTGTGCTTAATGTGGTGCTGAGCGCACTAGTAGTCTAACAACAAATTGTGTAATTGCAGGGAGAACAAACCTCAGAAAGGAGGCATTTGCGTTGCCAACCACACATCACCAATAGATGCGATCATTTTGACCAACGATGGATGCTATGCAATGGTATGAGGAGACTGATGGCAGAAAGATGGGAAAAGGAAAGATTGGCATAATGGTTCACGAGTTCAGTACTTTGTTTAGCTTTTAAAGTTGGTGAATAAGGTTACCTTGAGGATGAGTCACTGGGGAAAAACGTAAAGTATGTTGAAGTCTGACTTCAAGTTGCACGTTGATGAAATTTCTCTGGGAATGTCAATTCAGACTCTGTTCGAGATACTTCAGAGACTTTCTTGCATGCTTGTAGATCCTTCCAAGTGAATGTGCTTTAATAACTTTTGTGCATACTACTCAATCCTGGATGTGATTTACAGTATGACCTAATCTGCTGGGATGCAGGAGAAAAAATTGTTCTTTTCTGGGGGGTCTTGTTTGCTGATATGTTTCACTGGGCCTGCAGGTTGGCCAAGTTCATGGTGGATTGATGGGAGTTATTCAAAGAGCCACCGTGAAGGCCTGTCCTCATGTCTGGTTTGAGCGCTCAGAAATTAAAGACCGCCATCTAGTGACAAAAAGGTGAGGTGTGAGTTGGAGTGGGGAATTGTGCTCTTCATGTGACTCTGGTACCTTCTAGTGCTTGAGAGACCACCTCTGAACAGTCATTCTACAATTGAAGATCCCGATTTATGAAGTAAGCTTTGAAGAGACCCATATCAGGAGATGTGCTTGTGGAAAGACAGACAGAAGTGCAAGCTGGCAGTGAGGTTGCAGTGGGAAATGGGGAACTTGTACGTGGAAGCTGGCAGTGGGAAATGGGGAACTTGTACGACCTCAAGATCCTGAGAGGACAAAAGGCTGATTTACAGAGGTGTCATCTTTTGGCATGTGCAATTGCCTTTATTCCACATGGGCACTGCTGATTATAAACCCTAATCATAGGAACACTAGTAACTTGTAATTGCAATTTACTTTAAGCTGAAATGAAACAGTGTTATTCTTTTAGTGGGTTGAAGAGATGGTGTCCACTGATCAGATTTATTCAGAATGACTTGAAAGTGCATGTTTGAGTGGGCTTTGGTACAGTGGTCAAAATGAATGGCTCCTGAGTCACAGAGAGGTGCTTGAAAGAATGAAATGGTTCTGGTGCAAAAGTTCAAGTAAGATCTGAGCTGCAAGAAACAACAAAATATCAGATCTGGGAAATTATCATCCTAACGGCTACTTTGCTGTTAAAGTCCCAATATTTATATCTAAATTAAATTGACTTGAATTCTGCATATAAAGTGGACTTTCTATAACATCTATAGCATCTGTCTAGGCTTAATTCAAAAATGGAGGTGTTAGAAATGATAGTCTTTGCTTGCTGATGTGGAGGTGGAGTGCGTGGGGAAGTATCTGGCTGAAAAAGATCTTCCAACAAGTATAGCAGAACCCATGAAGGTTTTTTCCTGCTGTAAGCCACTTGTAAACTGAGTTTGGAGTTAATTGGCATGACCTAATGGCATAGGTTGGTTGGCTTTCCTGACAACCATTTATAAAGTAACATACAGGCAAAGTGTTGCTTCAGTGTAAAACTAATTGCTATGGTAATGAAGGACTCTTTGAAGGACTCTCTGAAATAGTGTTTCAGATTTTTTGCAAACAGAATGGAAAGTACAGATTTGTGTCTACTAAATAGTTTTGGTTTCTTACAGATGTGTTTGTTAATCTGATGCACCTGCCTCGGGAAAGAAATGTGGAAAAACATCTATTTTAACTTTACCTTTTGCTTCCACAGACTCAGGGAACATGTGGCAGATAAGAACAAGCTTCCAATCTTAATTTTCCCAGAAGGTAAGAAGATGAACTGTTCTCTTTTTCCCCTGTTCAGCATAGATTCATGTCTGTTCTTTTCTCGTGACTTGTGGTGCCCAAATGAATTCTCACCTTTGGGTTAGCTTTCTTATTTTATTCATCTTTCATGTAAGATTACCCTAAGGCAATGCAATAATGCCCTGCTTGTTGGGTGTCCTAGCCAAAGAATGAGAAGACAGTTTATTTTGCCCTGTGAATGTTTATTCACAGTGCTACAGATCTAGCCTTAGCCTTGAGTTTTTTCTCTCACACATGCCGTGGCTTTATTCAGCAAATCAATCACAAGAGAAGGAAGAAAAGCAAATGTGGAGAGGTGCTTAACTTACCCATAAGGGCCTGCCTTTGCTCCTCCTTGCTGTTGCTACTGAAATGTGAGAGGCTTTGTGAAATACTAACTTTATCTTCTGGACAGGCACCTGTATAAACAATACGTCTGTGATGATGTTCAAGAAGGGCAGCTTTGAAATAGGAGGGACAATCTATCCTGTTGCAATCAAGGTATGAGGAAGTGTCTGGCTGCTCAACTTGAAAATGATTTGGAGTCTGTTTTTGTCAGGGTGATGGGAAGCTGTCTCAGAGCTGCTAATGAAAAGCGCAATGACACTGTCAACTGGCCACTTGCTGTGGTTGTCTTCTGGCTTGCAAGTGACTGGAATGAGCCTGGACTGTGGCTGAAAGCATCCACCTTGCACTTAAGACAGGCTGTGGTGATTTGTGAGGGAAAGAGTGTTTTCATTTTTCTTTTTCCTGTGATCCCTTGCAGTATGATCCTCAGTTTGGAGACGCGTTCTGGAACAGCAGCAAATACAACATTGTCAGCTACCTGCTGCGAATAATGACCAGCTGGGCCATTGTTTGCCATGTGTGGTACATGCCACCAATGGTGAGAAAGGTAAGATCATCACTGTTTGCAAGTGTTTCTTTGCCCTCTTCTCCAAAACCCCTGTCCACTCCATGTTTCCAAAACTGTTTTATGCAGGGCTTTTATTGGTGGTTAGTTTAATAAATGTTTGGACTTAGCTTTTCCAGATGTATTGAAATATTGGGAAAATCTCTGCTGAATGTAGAATGCAGCTTGATACCACCATTGCTGTACTAAAGATGCAAAGAATAGTGGTAAATATATTGCTGTATATGATGACGTTGCTACTAATGCAAGTTGCAATTAATGATGCATTTGTAGCATAAAACCTTATCCTCTCTATTAATCCACACTTTTGGAGCACAAGTTCCCTTAACTTCAATATTCTGGAGAAAAATGAGCTAAATGTTTATCCCATAGAAACCTCAGGTTATGTTGGCATGAGGAGGGTGGGATTACTTGGTACAGAGTTAGTGACAGAGCAGATGACTGTGATGGAGGTCTGTTTGAATTTACTTCTCTCTGTTTTGATTCAACTTAAAACACTCAAAGGATGGAGAAGACGCTGTTCAGTTTGCCAACCGAGTAAGGTCAGCCATTGCTCGCCAAGGGGGACTGACTGAACTTCCATGGTAAGTGATTGATTGCACCCTTAGTAAGACTGTATGGACTGCTTGAACTTGTAGGCTTCTGTTAGTTGTTAAGTGCTTTTTGATTGAGAAGTGCACCTATCTTCATTTTACCGGGGAGAATACAAGGGAGTAACTGTAACAGTCACATACGTGGATATGAATAAAAAACCTATGGAAAATGGGTGAACTGCTACAGCTATGAGGCCATCTGGCCATAGGAAATAGTGCCTCAGATGGGCAAAGACTTGTATCCTAGTTAGAACCTGTTGTCAGCACTGGATCAGACTGCTTTAATAAATGAGCTCTACAGTTGGACAACATATGCATTAAGGCTTAAGGTATGTACTGTTTAGAGAAACAAAGAAAAAAACCTATTAAAACTGGATGTAGAAGTTGAGAAAAATCTCTGAGATGTTGGATGTTAAGACTAGAGTTGACTAAATTAGTTGATGTGACGTGTAGTTTGACAATAATGTATTTAAAACAAACAAAAAAAAACCCAACAGCAAACATGACGGCTTACTCTTTGCTCTTTCTCTGCAGGGATGGAGGTCTGAAACGAGCAAAAGTCAAAGACAGTTTCAAGGAAGAACAGCAGAAAAACTACAGCAAGATGTTAGTGAGAAATGGATCACAAGGAAGTCTGTCTGCAGGAACAGAGTCAGACTGAAAGGTGGTTCTTATAAACAAGTATTGTGCAACCAGCCTTAGCAGGAATAGTGTTTTTCTTTTTTTTTAATTAACACAAAAACAAAGTAACAAAATCCCTTTTGTGTATGCGTATTCTCTGTATGGCTGGTGCAGAGCCTGCTAACGGCAGTGTCTCCATATTTCTTTTCACTTCCCTGTTCCTCTGAATTTTTGTGCAATAAGGCACTGTAAGTCCTTGTATTCTCCTGCAGAACATGTGAAGAGTTAAAAGACTAAAGGGGTTAAAAAAACCCAAAAAACTACCACCTTTCTCCTGAGCTTGTAAGAATAAAGGGAAATACACTGAGTAATGTCATGGCACTGGTTGTGCAGATAATTCTTGTTTGTGGTTCTTGGAAGCTTTAAACAAATTTCTTTTTCTGTTGCTCAGACTTTTCTAGTTGTGGGTTTCTTAAATGTTTTAGGATGATGTCAGAACTGTAATATTTACTGCTTTTGTTAGCTTGCACCTGGATGTGCAAGGGGAAAGGGGAGCAAGGACTGCAGAACTCAAAGGATAGGAAAGGAGTTTGCCTTGTCAAAAGCGCAGTTCAAAGATCGTGAGGAATTTGGTGGCCTTATAACATGGAATTGCCTTTATTGAAAACTGTTTCTGAAGGGAAGGGGCAAGTCCTCAATCTCCCTGTCCACTGCTGCTGTCAAAGTTGTTTTCTTTAGACCACAAACTATAAAGATTCATTATGCAGCTGGATACCATAGGCTTTGACAGATGTATTTTCATGAAGTGGATTTTCAGGACTACCCTTCTGCAAAAATTGCTGCTAATGACTGAAAGATTTAAAGAGCCACTCCAATTCAGCAAAACATTTCTGGGCTAGCAATAGCTACAGCTGTAAACAGAGGATCTGTAAGTCATCTATGATACAAGTGGCACATTCGAAGTTGCAATATGTTGCTGTCTTAATGTAAAGAGTTAATAAATTCTATATTTCTAATGAGTGTTGTGTGGCATTTATGTTCTTTTCTATGACTATTTATGCAAAACAGTTTTTCTTCCTGGTAACGTGGAAACTTAAATCACTGTAACATAAAGAACCAGTTATTGCTGAGCTCTCACTTACCTGTTTTCTAACCTTTTTTTTTTTTTTTTTTCCCCTTTAAACTAGCTTAGTGTTTCTCCTGTCTAGAGTAGGAGACATCATGCAGACTGAACTTGAAGTCAAGTCAGGGAGACTCAGGTAATTAACTGGAAAAAAATGAGTTTGTAAATTTGTAACAAATTGTGAGTTGACTTTGTATGTCTTTTCCTGTAGCAAAGAGACTTTAAATATAAGACAGAGTAGAAAAAGTTACTGTACTAGAACCGAAAATCACATTTAAGACTGTTCCAACATAGTCTTACAAATAAGCATTCCTGATACATTTTTCCATTATCGCTAGGTACTGAATTTACACAGACATAAATGTCTGAGTATTACATAGGCACGGTCATATTTTTGTTTGTTTTGTACAGCTGATCGTGAAACCTGTTTTTGAGGTACGTGGCCTTAAAAGAAGACATCAGAAGCTTTAAAAATAATGTCAGGTTTAGCATTACAGACCTTTATAAGAGCAAAACTATTTGTATGGAGAAGGTTAGAGAAGTAACAAAAGTAGATGCAAACAAAGGCTTTTCCCTTATTTGAACCTAGTTCAATTTTGACCTACTGTATTAGTCCTGTTAAGATGAACTTGTGCAAGCTTTGGGTTAATGAATGTGGTTATCATAATTTCTGGATATTTGCTCTGAGTTGCATTTGCTAGTATGTATTGTTAGTAGGAAACCTTCTGAAAGGAAAACTTTTAAATAACATGCACAGATGTATATACCTGCACAAATGTACACATATACACTGTAGCAGAAATGCTAAGTCACAGCAGTGATTGAGCACCTAATGGAAAGGTAGGGCCAACCCAGTGGAGCTCAGATGCATGTAATGTACCTGAGTGACCAGAAAGGGTGGGGTCAGGATTCATCCCTTCCCAGACCTCATTTAAGGGTTGGCAGCAGAGGCAAGGGTATCTTGCTGGAGATCCTTGCCCATCTGAGGCCTTCAAAAGGTAAGAAGCTTTATTTCTTTCTTTTCTGTGTTCACAGCTGCTGCATTTGGGCTCGTCCTCATTTGCTGTAGCCAAAGACTTTGTCACCCTGCTGTTATTGCTATACTTTCCATCACATTAGAGCATTACACATACAAAATAGATGCATTTTAAATGTTTTAACTTCTATAAAAGTGTGTATATAGAGAGAACTTAAAATGTAAGCAGTATTATATTCTTCAGTAGATGGAATAAGAAGCATTAGATGAAGGTGTAAATGCAGGATTCTCAAGACCATCTTCACAATCAACTTGTGGGCTGATATACCTCAATTTCCTGCTTCTGGATTTGATAGCTGGCAGTCAAACTGTAGTGGATAATGAAATCTCACAGTGATTCCATGTTAAATGCAAGTATTTGCAGCCATGGGATTCTGAGATTTGGGGAAAGCAGCAAAGATTGATTGGGTTCTTGCTTAAGGCAAAACTGGCTTTTAAAGGGAAAGCCATTGCTGAGTCAAAGGCTAATAAGAAATATGATGAAATGATATTTCAATCATATCTAGCAAGCCAAATAGGATTGACTGTTGTGATATTAAGTTGAGTTTCAGAGCCTCATAGGTAACTGCTACTGGACAAAGTGGTAAACAAAACATTTCCTTCTTACTTTGGAGAAAACAAATAGTACAAATTAGCAGTATGCATTACAGCAACTGAATAAGAGCATACATCTGTATGGCTATGAGACAGAGCGTTCCTTGATCACTTTGTAATTGCAGCATGCTTACAAAAATAGATGAATGAACGAGCTGATAGTGTTTAAGAAACCTCCAAAGACTCACCTCTTTTCTTTATGCTAGATATTATCTTGCTTGGTCATTGACTCCATCTGTGGCAACATTTGACAGTTTTTGGTGTTGTATTCCTAGATTACTACCACTTTCTGCAAATGTGGGTTTCTGTGGTTTGGGTTTTTTTTTTTTTTTTAATATATTAAATGCCAGCTATGTCAGCAGCAGTGACTGCTAATAGATGGTTCTGGACTGTAATGAATTAGGAAGGAGACAGATATTCTTGGAGTGGTATGGAAATGAGTCTCTTAACTTTAGAATACTATTTTTTTTTGAGCAGCAGTGTAAACCCAAATGGGTACTAGCACTGGGACAATGAATAGAAGATGCCACCTGGCTCAGTGCCAGGGTTAAGCTGCTCTCATTTCTTTCTTATATTTTCAGAAAGCTTTCTGTAGACTGTTTTCCTTTTTTTTTTTTTTTTTTTCTGACAGGTCTGGGAAATGCTGAATTGGTTTGGATCAGTAGAGGCAGCTCAAGAAATCCACAGTTTGAAGTTAAGATTTAGTTCCTAGTGCTCAGAGCTAAGGGCATTAATTCTTATTTAAGGACCTCATTTTCTTTTTTTCATGCAATTTGTATGAAGACTAAGTTACAGAAATGGATTTCTTCTTTCAAACTGTGGCAAAACATGGATGTTTTCTCTGGCTTTGGACAAAGGCGTAGATAATCGTTTTCAAAGATGCTGTTAAAATCAAATTGATATGCCAGTTCGTGTGTTTCTCAAATCAAGCTGCTATTTTTAGTATGTGTATAGCAGGTGTTGCAAAGGGTTCTGTTGTTTGTGTTGTGTTTAAGTTGTTCTGCCTCCACTTGGCTTCTCTTTGATTGTATGTAACAAACATTAAGTAAATGCAGACTGTCACGGAAAATGCATGATTGATGTGAAGGAGACCATTGAAAATCCTCAAAGCAAAGAGTTGTTGGGATTTTATTACAAGAAAAATCAATATTAGTTTTGCTAGCTCCTAGGCCAATACCAAAACTATGTTTTATATGTTTTAACTTTCCGTATGTCCTCTCCACTACTTGAAAGATTGATAAAAGTTTCTGACGTATAGATAATATAAATGTAAATGGCTATAAGCATAAGAAGGCAAATGTGGTAATGCATTCCTGCTCTTCTTTGTTTTGCTTAGTGCTTCTCAAGAGTTGGACACTCCACAATTTACTGAGTCTGCAAATTCTTGCTTGAGGAATGGAACAGATTTTAAGCAGTACTTGAGGTATTTAAGGGAAGAGCCAGAAAACGTGTTAAGGTTTTTTAACTAAGATGAAGACAGAAGTCAACTATGAAACCTTTCTCAAGGTGTTAGTTATAACACCCTAGTAGTAGGTTGCTAGTTCCTGACTTTTCTTTTTCAGGGGTGCTGAATGTGACATAATGGCTAGACAAACTAAGATTCTGTCAGTACTAGTGCTAAAGTAGCCTAATTCCTTATGGATTCTATATAGATTTGTGCCCAGTCTTAGCCTGCAAGCTCTAATTGGACTTGGGGTTCAGGGTTGCAATACTACTAGGTGGCTTGGCTGCAGATTCCCATGTATAATGTCTCTGTTACTTTCTTTGGAAACACGAATGAAATCTGTCCTTGGGCTGCCTGTCTGTTTTAAATGGAACTGGTAAGCTCTATTGATCTTAAAGAACTTTGCTTCCTTTCTAAAACTTGTTTGAATCAAGTGACAAGTGCAAAGTTATTAGGGATGCAGAGCCTGGTTCACAGCTGCCGTGATGTTGCAAATTGCATTTCCTGTGGAAAACAACACAAAACCCAAGTAAATTCTTGGAGAAAAGCCTAAGCATGATGGCTCTGCCTAACTGGATAGTAAAATCTCTATTTCCCCAATCTCTTTTTCCTGGTCTTTGCCTTCCTTTCTGTACAACTTGAATTGGATTAAAGATGGGAGGAAAAAACGCATTCTCTTCCTGCCTGGCTAATTGCTTCTTTCTGGGAGAGGTAGGAAGTACAATTGTGGCATTGCTAGGCAATGGAGACAAAGCTTGTGTCGTATTTCTGGAGCAACTGTTTTACTACTATAGCTAAAATCTGAATGGATATGTTCTCCTTGATTGGAGACACTTCTATTTTCAACTAAGAAAGGTGAACTCCACAAGCTTTACTTACCTTATTGATACAGGACACTGTAGGTTGGTGTCTTGCTAATGTTGGGCTATATTTTATTCTCAAGGAGCAGCTCCTGAGTGTTTTCACATCATAGTCTCTGCACTGTCCCATTATTTTTCTTTTCAGTGCAGTTTTGAATTGCATACTAATCAGTCTTCCTTGCAGACAAAATTTCACTGAGATAACTTTGCTTTAAGAATGGATAAAATGGAACCAATTATATATATATTTTTCCCCCCACACCAATGTGAATGAGCCCAGTCCTGAAGTGAGAGAAATTTGCTTGAGGTCTCATGAGCAGCAGGAGCTTTGAGGGGCTCTAGTCTCTGCCCTGACTGCAGGTTGGTGATTGAGACTACAGGCTGTATTGCTCTGGGTTGGAAGTTGTGCAGGTGGATGTGTGCCAGTGCGTGCCACAAAACACAGGTATTGACCCAGCCATGCCTGAGCATATGCTATTGGACTAGGAGGCTGCTAAGAAATCTTGGGGGTTTTGAATATTGATTTGGATGATAAACTAGTTGTTTAAGCATAGCACTAAGAGTGAATGTTTCAGCACAGCTGTGCTGTTTGGCACTGCTGCTCCTGAAGAATGCCCATGCCATTACTAGTTCTGATTTGTTGCCATCCAGAATATTTTCCTTTTTTTTTTTTTTCTCCTTTCTATTTCCCTGTAATGAACATAATGAAAAATGCAGAAATGTGACCTCAGGAGTCAAGATACAGACTCCAATAATTGTTCACTGTCTCCATCTTTATATTAGATTTTCTGAGGCTGTTTTTTCCTCTATTTGCTGGAAAAAAAAATCCATACAAATGAAATACAAGCACAGTCAGTAAATAGTAATGAAAAGGTAAATTCATTTTACAGACAAGCCAGTGCATGTAAGACATCATTTGGAATGATGGTGATGCTTTTTTTGTTGCACAGATCGCAAAG